CTCTCAGCCTTGTCTGAATTTGAGTACCATTTTGTTAAACCGTAACACTGTCAACTTTACAATGGGACAGCCTGGATGAGTAGGTGCACAGTCATATGTGAACAAAGTGAACAGGAGAGGGCTCAGCACACATCCCTGTGGGGAGCCAGTGCAGAGGGTTATGGGGGAGGAGGAGAAGTTCTGGATCTTCACTGACTGGGGTCTGTTTGTTAAGAAGTCTAGGACCCATTTGCAAATGGAGGGGCTTAGTCCTAGTGTGAATAATTTGTTCATCAGGGTTTGGGGGATCATGGTGTTGAAGGCAGATTTGAAGTCCACAAAGAGCATACGGACGTAGGAGTCCTTCTGCCACTTTACATGACTGAAGTGGCATTTTGCTATCTTTAATGTTTTTTTTTACATAGTTACAGTATAGATTTGATTTGTGGAGGTTTTCCCAAGGAATGCTCAACTGACAAATTTTGGAGCTGTTTAAACTTTCCAAACATTTGCAAACAAGCTCCCCTTTACAGTAGAAGAACAAATTACTAGTATACATCTAAACATGTTTTGTTGTGTCTTCTTTAAACCTTATGGTTTTGTTTCAGATCCTCTCAGAATGCAGAGTGCAACCACCCAAGCTTCAACGTGCTTCATTTATTTATTAATTTTTTAGTTCAAAATGTTCTCTTCCAAACTGAAATATAAGAGTATTTTAAAGGTGTAATATCTCCTACATAAAACACTGTAGAAACATAAAAATTCAAATGTGTGACCATCAGTCAGCTGCCACTCATAATTCAAATACCTTTAAGATATGACTATTAGTTTTTGAACAGCAACTTTTTTTTTGGTGCTTACTCTTTATCTGCCTCTCTTAGAAGAGCAATCAGGGAGTGAGAGACAAATGTGTGGTTACCACGGTGACCATACTGAGCCATTGACAGCAGCTCTAACATTTAATTTGATATCGGAACAGCATTTAACTTTTTTCTTTGTCTAGAAATGTTATTTTTATGATTATCATACCATTAGAGCTGTTGACAGATTTGGTGTCAACCCCCCCCCCCCCCCCCCCCCCCACCCCCCACCCCCAAACACACTTCAGATAGCAGCTCTGGAAGGTAACCTGGGGGAGACGGCTCAGAAGTATTCATCTGAGATGGAGCGGCTGCAGGTCACCCTGAACCAGATGGAGGAGGATCTGTCTCAGCTCCGGCTGGACATGCAGCGCACCAAGACCGACTACGAGCAGCTTCTCCGCATCAAGCAGAACCTGGAGATGGAGATCGCAACCTACAGACGCCTGCTGGAGGGCGAGGAAGCGTGAGTGATGTTTACAAAGCCTTGGTGCCAAAAGGTCACAGGAACTTGTTGTTTCCTGCTTTTGGACTTTTTTAATGGTAACCTGTTAAAGTGACCTGAACAACACATGCAAACTGTCAAAGCACTGACTCCTGGCCTCACTTTTCTAGTTTAGCTGTGATCCAACATATAATAAAGTCTTACTACTTTATGTGGATTTTTTGTAAGGTTGATTTTTTTTTCTTGATATAGGTGCTAAAATGATACTTTTAAAGTTCTGCCTCCTAAATGACATTACATAAAGTTTTATTCATTGATTTGATGAGTTTTAATGTCAAAATATAGGAAACATATCAACTTCAATAACTAAATATTTAAATAAATGCATGAGTTCTTAAATATTTACATAAGACATGATAAAAGTACAGCCCAGACGCGAATTTATTAAAAAAAAAAAGCACTTGGTTTAGTAAAATCAGTTCATTATTTGTGCACAAACTCTGTTTTCCAGCTTCAGCATTGTTTTTTTCCTCAGATATAATAACATGTTTGCTTTCTCAGACTAAACACGACACCTGTCTTGGCTAACTGCATGTCCTGCAGAAGAGCAAACCGTCACACAGCTCAGAGGACTGCATGCTTATGTGCAAATAAACAAAAGCAGAATGACTTCTGGCATTAAAGTGTAAAATACTCTAAATGTCTTGCCCCATTTTCATATTAATATGTTTATGCTCAGATTTCGGCACTTTCTTTAGTGAAACATGTGTTTTAAGTGTTTTCATGCTCAATGCTAATTTGCAGTCTTAGACCAGGTGAGCTGTTTCTGTATTTAGTTAGCTACTTTCAGGACCTTTTATAGTAAAAAACCAAAGATGTTTTCTAAGCAAATTTATGTTGCTTCTTTTCTTTGTCTTTTAGAGTCAAGGAAATTCCTCTTCCACCAAAAAGTGAGTCCTCTGCTTCTATTTCATCATTATTGTTGTTACTGTTAGTATTATTTACTACCTTACACAATGTAATCAGATATGAAATTAAAAAACTTCCATTAAACAACGGTGGGAATATTATATAGGCTTGTAAAGAAAACCCAGCTGTAGACTTAGTGTTATATTAGGTGAATAATTTATTTGGTTGGTTCTTCTGAAGACTCCAGTGATAATAAGTTGACAGAGATGGTAATCAGAAGCAATTATGGCGAGGATAAGAGAACTTCAAGGGAGAGAATAGGAATAAATGAAGGCCTAAACATTCAGAGCGATGATTGGCTCGAACTGGACCAGCTGCTGTAAGGCAGCCAGTCATGTGGCAGCTTGTGGAGGGAGAAAACTGGACTTTATGGGATTGCATGACAATATTTATCTTACGTGGGATGCAAACAAACCAGACCACTTCTGAAATTAAAACAGAAGAGACGGGGAAAGAAAACGGTCAAGAAGAAACGGCTTAGAAGCTGAAGATGGGAGCATTCCTTTTAGGAAGGACAGAAGAAAGCTCTGAAGGGTTAGCATAGAAGTTAATGTCTTTAATTGAATGAGAGTCAAAGTACTGGGATTCCAGGTTTCTGGACTCCACATTTAAAGCAAGGCCTACTCTATGACTTTGAGAGAGACTAAGAGTAAGTGCAGCGGCTTCGGATGTTAACAGCCAATTTAACGGACGTTATTGTCCCTCCTACCTCCTAGTAGTTTTAAAGTTTTGATGTATCGCTGATATAATGCAATGTTGCACACGAGTAAAACAGGAAATATTTTCATTTTTTTTGTCCACTTTATGTAACCCTTTTTCCTAAACCTAACCTTACACCTGACCCGGAGCACTGACCCTAAACTTAACCCCCTTACCCTTGTGCTTAAACTTAAACCAGACCCTTTACTCTGAACCTAACCACATGAGCCTGTTAACAACATACAACATACCTTTAAACCCACTAGGAGGTACAGGAGGGGCAGTCTGAACGCTACATATGGAGATGATAACAACTGATAATAGGACATTTAATGACTGATAACATTTGAAGCGGGTGCTAAGAGCAGGATTAACTTGAAATCAACTAATTAATGGGCAGTCGACATCTTCCCTGTTAGGGAAGCAGAAACCAGGTTTTATAGAGCAGAAAAATGCCAGACTCATGGGATCACTTCTGCAATTAAAACGGGAAAAAAAATAATATAGAGCCAAATGCCAAAAAAGACAAATACTTACAAATAATTATTTACGAGCTGCTGAAGCAACATCCAGAGCTAATTTGGCTTCATACGGGATGAACTCGACGATATTCGCCTCAGATAAACATTTTTTTTCCAACACACCCAAGAGGCCCAGGAATAATTACAGGTCCACGACGCTGCAAACGGCTCAGCTCCTGAGCAACAGCTGTGGGTGGGACGACACCGATCCTGTGTTGTAACTGCTAAGAGGTTCGCAAACAGGGAGACTCTTTTGAAAACCATTTGACTCACAAGAAAAACAAAAACACAGCAAGTAGGGCATGCTGAATCATCAAACTGCTTTAAGAAGAAGAAGTCAGAACTTTTAGGAGGGATTAGGAACACTTTAGATAATCCGAAACGGTATTTTTTGTTTTGTTTGTTTTAATCTGATGTATTCTTATTTTCTCTTCGGTGCAGAGGAGCCTGACGTTCGCACCAGAAAGATTGTGAAGGTGGTGACTCAGACCATGGTCAATGGCAAAATCGTGGACGAATCCAGCGAGGTGGAGCAAATCGAGGAATCCAAGAAATAGAAGCGGAAAAGAGGGTGCGCGCTGTAAAAGGTTCAAGTTTAAAGTTACATAAGTTTGTATTGCAAGAGGCACACGAAGAAAAGAAAAATATAACCGCCTACAAACTAATAAAGACGGAAGAATGACGCAGTTTTACTAGAAACATGCTTTTCAAACAGTTTAGATATGAGAAGTTTAATTAAACCTGCATGTGTTTGAATAGTTAGGCTTTTGTGTAAGAGGACCTAACGTAGATATTTGGTTTAAAGTTTAAATAGATATTTAATTCTTGGTGTGTTGAAGCTGACTTTAATAGACGCAGTGCATGGATTTACTTGTTTTACTAAAATGTGTTTTTAATGACTTTGCTGTTTCTTGAATTGGATTGTAGTCAAATAAAAAATATCCCTTTATAGTGCAGTTTAACTAGATGATGCACCTTTTTACTGTTTACTGTTATAATTAAATTGTTTCACATGAATCTTCACAACTGAGTGCACAGATCCATTAAAATCTTAATTTATTCCCCAAACATTTGTTCATTTAGACAGTATACTGTTACCTTTATGATGAATGTAACAAATGCATTGTTTATTATGATTAACTTCTAAAAAAAAAAATCAGAGTGAATAAATCAGCTGTTTTCTGGATGACTTGAGTCGGGCTGTGTTTCATTTTTTTTTTATTCTGTTTTCACCTTTTGCCATAAATCTACATACAGACTGAATGACAGCAGAGGTGAGACAGGAACGTTGGATTAGGTGATATTTTAATAACACAACTTCATGTGCAGATTTAGACTTCAGACAGCTTTTAAAAAGCATTAAAAAGTTTGAAACTCAGCACACTTTCCTCTTTACAGCCACAAGATGAAATAAAATAAACCATTCTTTAAAAAAACATACGTTTTTGTGGCTGTTTTATTTTAGAGACTGTATACAGCTTAAGTTAGATGATTTAACAAAATGCAAATACTTCAACATTTAACAAGCCTGAATACATAATCCAAGAATCTCAATCTAAAAAATTTTCAATTCACCCAAGAGAGTTTGTTATAACACACCTTAGTGGTCCCAAACCTCAGACCACCATAATCCCATTACCGCCAGGATTAAATTGTTGGGTTTGGCTTCATTTCTTGGACTACGAAAGGGATTTACCTACTTAAATGGTCAAAGTGCAGCATGTTTAAACTGCTGACGTCTTTGTGTTCCTGATTTTAAAAATAAATGAATTTTTGGTGTTGACTTGAAATAAAGAGCAAATATTTAATGTTTAGTTGCCTGATTGTTTCTTGTATTTCTTTCTTTCTGGAGACTAGAGTGTTTTTAAATTGGTGTATATGGGTTTGTCCTTTACAGATACTGTTACATTAACAGGAAACCAACGCGGAGGCATTAGATAACTTTTTGTTTATTTCGATTTTCAGAAGCAATTTTCTTTATGGTGCCAAAAAGCCGTGACCAACCAAACTGTACTAAAATTTCTCTTTTTACTTTCCCAATAAATGCTAAATGATCAGAATCAGCTTTATTGTCATTGCACAGAAGCACAGCCAAACTTCATTTCAGTACAGCCCATCTAAAACAGACATGGGTAGACGGAGGTGTCTGAGGCTGCAGCCTTATGAGAGGCGCTGCCTTTTTCATTAGATAAGGAAAAGGGGAACACGAGGAAAGAGGAGATTTGAAAAAAATCATATGGCACACTGTGTCCTTAACAGAACATACAGATGACATAATAAGATGTGTGTGGAGTGGGTGAGGGTGGACGGGGGGAGCTCCCAGCACAAGCCGCCCAAGAGAGCGTCGCAGCCACTGGCACCTCGCATCAAACCCAGGTTACCGCACCAAAGGACGGAGGCCAGCGAAGGCAGTGGGTTGAGGGGAGTGTGAATGAGTGTATGCGTGTGTGCGTAAGTAAGTCCATGAACAATGTTCCAGATAGCCCCCACTCCCCCACCAGCCATAGTCCATGATAAGTGATGGTGTGTTTTTGAGCTCTGACACAGGTCCATAGATGTCCTTGGGAAAGGAAACAGGTATTGAGAGTAAGCCTGTTGCAATAAACAATAAATCAATTAATCAATTAATTGCTTTTTAAATGAAAATTATCAACCTCATTTTCATTTATCGGCTTTATCATTTCTTTATGTCTCCCTCTTTCTACTAAAGACACTGGATGACAAGGCTCAACTCAACTTTGGTGCTCTTCACTGACCCTTCCCTTTCTCTTTAAAATCTGTTTAACCATCCAAAAATGCGTTTTTGGATGGTTAAAAGCAGCTAAACTGAGAAGCTAAGCTACAAGCTAAGCTAACAGGCTGACCTCTGGGGACAATACCTTCGTCTTGTTGAATCTCCCAAATTCATGGTTGAAACCTGTACCTTCGTGTAAAAAGTTGTTTTTCTCTACAAAAAGAAGCTGAGAACTTGTTTACTGATTTTTTAAAAATTAAAAGCTTTGTGTGAAAAATGCTATGCTAAAGAGCTCAAACCACACAGAGCGTCCGCCATTTTGAGAACCGAAAAAAAAGGGAAGGAGAGACAGCGCATGTCACATCAAGGGGCCTCCCTCCCATTTTTCTTAGACACGCTGCTCGCTCCCTCACTATTCATCCTTCGGTTCAAACAGTCTTATACTGCCATCCAGTGCTCAAAAAAAGGTATTACACTCAAAACAAATTAAACAACATTTCTTCTTTAATTTGATAATAATTATCAATTATCATCAAATTTCAAACAATATTATCGTAATAATTTCTGAGACAATTAATTATCATGCAAAATTCGTTATCGTGACAGGCCTAATTGGGAGCAATAGTGGGAGCAGAGCGTCTTGTTCACATAACATCCACGAAAATTTGAGATAGTCAGCCTTCTCGAGGTCGACACGGGGGAGCCAGATTCAGATAACATCAGTTGTTTGGGTCAGGCCGACTCCGTTAATTTCCATCTGCCTTACGGTTCCACATCTCAATGGCGGCTCCAAACAGCCAAATTATTGTGGTCAGCACCGCCGGGCCGAGCTTGTAACTTCTTATGCTCCTTTTTCTTAAACATGTGTCTAAAATAAATGATGATAATGAGCATAGCACAAAGTGCTTCGTAACTCTTTTATCCTACTTATGTACTTTTGTATATTCAAAATTTCCAAACTCTTACAGGAGAGAGAGAATAAAAAAACACAATTCTGTCATATTTAGTACAAAAAAAATATTTTATTTAATACATTCACACAAAACTCCACTGCCCAGTAACGTAACAAGTAAGATACAAGGATGAGTGAATGATGATGAAGAGAACAAGAAAAAAAAGGGTGGATTTTGAATCCACTTACTTGGTTTTCATTTTCCAGTCATTCTTTCACACAGATTTTCTCTCACACATGCAAACTTTGACTCTCCTTCTTGTTAAATACTTCAGACTGCAGCTTTCTGGCACGCATCCCTGCTTTACTGTTCAGCAGGCTCCTGACTGCAGGACGGGCTGAAACTGTCCCGCCATGCAGATCTCCTCCTGTTTCTGACGGACAACGCGCTGGATTGCAGGGGGGAGGCCCCGGGGGTTCCTGGAGAACACGAGAGCGTAGCCGTCGTCACAGCTGCCATCATCTTTCAGGGTGCGGCAGGCGTACGTGATGGCATAGTTGTCATAGTCGGTGTCGATTATCCAGTAGTTGTCCCCTGGTTGGAGAGAAAAGAAGAGCGTGAGGAGGAATGAAGCAACGATGTGAGGAAGAAGTGTGTGTGAGGGGCGTACCTCCACTGGAGAGGTAGCTGGCCAGACCCTGGTAGTTCATGAACATCTTTCCAGGCATGCCAGGGTCAGGAACGGAATACTGAGCAGCCATGTCTGCGCACACAACCCAGAAGCTGCAAAACAATGGAACAAAACGCAAATTTACAAAATGCTAAATGGTCAAAAAAAAAAAAAGTTAATCAGTGCAAGAGGCGATTATTTTCCTAAGAAGTTCCAGCTAAGTTTGAGTCTATTCATTGTGTAATAAGCCTTTCTCTGTTTCCGCCTCTGCACAAACTCTGCAACTAATGCTGCTCAGAATGCCTCCTTAGATAAGCGTCAAGTCAAATCTTTCATGTTTTTATTCCAACACGTGTTTAAGGCTCCTCTTTCCTTTCTGTAAGTTCGAAATTTCCACTTACCCAAACAGAGTGACCCGTCCCCTGGAGGAGGCGATCATGGAGCCGTCGTCATCGATGGTGTACTCAGCTGAGATGTTGTCCTGCAGGAACAGGCCCTCTGGGTCTTTCTTCTGCAGTGCATACCACTTCCCTGCATACTACAGACAAATAAATAAATTAAAAAGGGCGATAAGAAACGATTTTAAACCAGATTTTATCAGCGTGTGTTCCTCACCCTCTTGGGGTCGAAGTCTTCTTTGACTGAGAAGCTGTCGACGATGCAGGAGGCCGACAGAGAGAGCTCCACACAGGAGACAAAGACCAGCAGCAGGACCAGCTTAGAGGATCCCATTCTGCGAGGATTTTACATTCACAAGCACGTTTAATCAAAGAAACCAAAGCTGGTGTGTTTACGTTTTCTTCAAAAGTAGTCCATAAGTATTACTTTTTTATTCTAACACTCATATATCATATTGAGGAATTGAACACACAATAATAATAACAAAAAAAGTAGTTTTATGACTGGCGGAAACTTGGAATAACATTGGAGGATTAAAATCAAAGACAAAAACCATTAGTTACAAAAATGTCAATTGAAGAGCAGCTTTTAATGCATTCGGATTTTTAAAGATTTCCTCATCATACACAATTATGATAATAAAGTTTTTCATTTGAGCAGAGGTTACTGATGGATCAGAGTCATATAATCTGTTATTACAACAGTAATAAAAATAAAAAAAAATCACCCTAAGATTACACATCTTACCTTTTTTGAGTTAAAGCAGCAGCAGCGATTAGAATCAAAGTTCTGGATGTGCTCCTTCACCACATTGGGTCGTGGTTCGGACGCTCCCTTTATATATGCTCCCAACAAGACAAGCTTATGGCTGATTTTCATTGCTTGGAACTAAATAGGGTACTTAAATCTAGAGGTAATCTTGTTGGGTTGAAATCCTTACCGTAATCTGGCCTCTATGTTCAAACCTGCCAAGACTTCCCATAAAAACAATCAGACCTTTATGTAACGGATTGAGACTGAATAAAACAGGTGCACAGCAGCTGACAGATTACCTGTTTTTATAAAACGTGGATGAACATGTTCATATGAAACTGGCACAAAGGTATTTCTTTATTAAAAATCAAATGCTTCGTAAAATTACAACAAAAACACAATGTTTATGTTTAGTCCAATTTAATCAGCTTTCTCTATCACACTCCTTGAATCTGAAAAAGGCAGAGAGAGGTAAGTTTTAGTTGACAAACACAGTTTGTAAAAATAAAATCCAAACCAATAACTTGTATATACTTGTTATTCTTAAGATTAATTTCATGGATCTCCGACTTGTGGGATAATATTTAAAACAGAATATATATATATATATATGTATAGTATACAGTATGTTTTGAGACACATATATGTATATATGAAGACAAAGAAAAAAAAAACCTATAACAGCCAAACTTGAAAACATTATACTTTTTCCATCAGAGACAAGAATATATAGGCCCTGTCAACTTTCTGGATTTTTTTTCCTAACAATTGCTTCACTTTTAAGTAGACTGAACAACAATGTTTAAAAAATTGAAACACAAAGCCTTAATTTTAATCCTTCTGCTGCCATAGTGTCAAAATATCCCACAAGATCTCTGTTTAAAACATTTAGGCCTCTTGTGTCATTTTGACCCAAGGGCAGCATGAGGGTTAACTGAGAAACCTCTAAGTAACAACAACAACAACAACAAAACCAACAAGACAAAAAAAGTTGTTTTAAAGAAAATCTTTTAGGGTTGACATTAAAGTGATACTAAAATAGAAAAATAGAACGTGCTTGACTAAAGATTCTCCCAACACTGTTGCAGAGTTGTTGTTGTTTTTTATATACATAATTTAAAATGTCCCCTCAGTTATTAACTCCTACAGCAGTTGACATTGATCAGGATTCATGTTTCATGGTGACAGAATCAGGATAAAGTGAGAGAAATGCAAAAAATCTTGTAAATTCTTGTTTTGGTTTCTTGAGCATAAACTGGAGCTTCTAATGTAGCATGACCATAATCACTGTGGTCATGCATTAGAAGATCAGCTTCTCCATCCCACAAGGACACACCAAAAACAAAACAAGGATTCCAAACACTTTGTTCACTTTGGAAAACTCTTTCAAGCTCTGCTTTTCCCAACCACAACGAATTAACCTCACATGATGCATTTATAATTTCCTCACTTACTGTATGTGTTTTGTCCCTGCAAGAACCAAGTCATATCTAATCTGTGAAAAAACAGTCTTGTAATCTTTAAGCATCAAAAAGCTCATCTGTTGACACCATTTTATTTATTGTCGCAGCTCATTTGACTGAGAGGGAGCTGTTTTCAGACACTTCAGTGAAGATCAGGAGCGTCACAGAGCAAAACAGGTAAATGTGGCAGCTCAAATAAAACAGCAGAGTTCACTTCAGGGACGTGTAAACACTATTGTTGGCTGGCAGAATAAATAGGTTTAGACTATTAAGTAATGCTATCTTTTGGTTGAGCAGCGAGGTGTAATCCTTTAAGACGGTGCCAGTAAACACAGCCAGGTAATACAGTTAGATAATTAATTAAAATTAAGTATTTTAAAGGTGGGCTCTGTTTTTTTTAACTAAATAAGATGAGCAATAAGTAGAACATGTGTCTTAGCATCATCTTTTGTCAAGTTTTCCACACAGTAGTACACGTGCACATTTGTGTACTTGTGTACTCTTATTTCCTGGATGAAGTGAGATTCTTGATGGAGTAATGCATCATGTGATCGCAGACGGAGAACTGGGAAGCCAGTCTAGACAAATAAGCTTTTTTTTTTTTTTTTCCCACTGACTGAGCTTCTGCGCAATAATCCTTCTTGCAGAGCCTGGAATAGATCACTGACGCCATTTTATCTCCTAAATTTAAACTTCTTTGCCTAAATATGGAGTCAGTTTAACGTGTAACACGAGTTATTTTTGTTTTAACTTCATGGTTAGGTATGCAGTTTGCGACAGATGATATTTTTCTTTTATGAAGGATTCTTAAAAAGATACTTTGTGAAGGTATCATTTTATTCTGAAACTGGTTGTTGTCGGAAATCTTGGAAAAAAAGGAAAGAAATTGATTAAATATGATAATTAATGTTATTAAAGAGAAATATTATACTGAAGGCATCCACTGGAACCACAATAAAGGTGGTTTGGGGGTTTTTGATGATAATTTTGAAAACTTTAATACCTCCTTTTCTGGATGTATATCACTATTTTTTTTAGATGATTATTTCCTCTGGTTTTGGATGCTGTGCAACTTGAAGGATTTTTACAGAAACTTTTTTTTTTTTACTTTTAGACATTTGTTATGATGCGAAACCATGACAACAAGGTGGTTTTCTACAACTGGGAGCTGCTGATTACCATCTCAAAGCTCAAATAATTTCTCAACTACAGCCCCAAATTCAAGGATTCAAGGTTGTTTTTTTTTGTCATTCGTATCTCATGTGGTACATGTGGTGGAACGAAACAACAGTATGTCCTCAATGAGTTGAAAAGGAGGCGCCATGGATGCATTTCCATCTACCTGGAGCTGGCGTGAAATGCGGTTTGCGACAGCGGGAGGACCAGGATCGTCCCCCTGCACCTGCAGCTTGCTGTTGGCGATGAGCGGCTCAGCAGGCTGATGATGGGAGGAGTGACCATCGCTCGGGGAGTTCTGCCCAACATTCAGGAAGTCCTTTTGCCCAAGAGGACTGAAAGGTCTACTGGGTCCACATGGACGGATTGACATCTGTGGCCTCTTTCTTCAGATCCACTGTGGGACGGACCGCTACAAGAGATCCTTCTTGCCCACCGCCATCAGCATCTATAACAACTCTTAATGAAACAAGGTTGATGAGCTACAACAATTAATGTCCCTTTGGGATTAATAAAGTATTTTTTACTGAATTGAACTGAATTTACTCTGCTTGCCCGGTGACATTGACACCTTTAAATTTAGGATTTCGTCTTTACAGATATGAATGAAGTTGGTCTGTAAACTCATGCATGTATGAACAAAACATATCTTGTTGATTTTCATATATATAAAAAAAACATTTTCTGTTTGGACTTAAGGCTCGGACAAATTTACTTTATATATGAGTAAGCTCACTTTTAGTCATGATTATAGTTAATGGATTTTTAAATATATTTTCATTTATTGTGGTTGTATTGACCAATTGTTTAAACATCAAGCTTAACAACTCTCAGTTGTGAATGTTTAAACTCCAGCTCGAAACTCTCCCGTTTATTAGAGCTGGGGAAGTATTTCAGAAAAGAGGTGAAACATCTTCAGGGACTAAACGTGGTTTAGTTGAGGCACTAATACATGTATGTGCTGCCACCTAGTGGTGGCTGTCAGCACTACAGCTTCAACAAGTGCAGCTGGAAAACAATAAGATCACGTGTTTGCTCGTAGATGAGCCTTTAAAAATGAAATTTTCAGCTCTGTCATTAAAATGGCTCTAGATAACTATGTGGATATTAAATAGTTGTGTCATGATGGACAAAAGCCACAAACTGGCATTTGGGGTTTCATGCAAATTACTCAAACAAATATTAGACAAACATTTAAAAACCTGATCACACGTCATACTTCACATTTTTAGAATGAACTCTGTATGTATTTATTTATTTATTTTTTTACATTTTTATCCATGTCACATTTTTGATTTGTAAGTTCCTTTACCGGTGGCTAAATACAAAACTAAGCACACTCCCTTTCATTTTGCCTTGCTTTGCTAATTTTATTAATCTCTCTGTTAAGCAAGTGCTAACACAAACTAACAGATTACAAACATTTCTGCTGACCATTAGCTTGACTACAAACAATGTTTTCAACACAACTCAGTGTAAAGTTGTCATATTTAGTCCTTTTTACGTCAAACTTTTTCCAACATGTAAGTATTTTGCAGGGTTTTAAAACCTGAATTTAATTCCTAATCATAATTTCTTGTTCTAATCTTATTATTTGCTCAAATCTCTGTGGATATTGTGTAAGAGAAACAAACACGCACACTAGCCGATTTGGAGGTGTGAGTATTTGTTGCAGTTCAGACATACTTAAAGCAATTTTTTTTTTTTTTTGAAGTAGGGTTCAGTGGAAACATTGCAGACCGTAAACATCTTACCTGTTGTAAATAGTTCTTTGAACAACCTTAGTTTAAACACAGATTGTTTCTATGGCCAATGGCCTGTCAAAGCCTAAAGCAGAACACTGTTTTCTTCTAATTTAATCTTAAAACTTATATGACGTTCATGTCTTTGCTCTGACTTGCTGCTAGCTCATTATTTGGCGAGACTTCATCTCTATTTCTTCAAGCTGAGGTCCTTCAACAAACTAACTACAACTGGTAAGATATTAATTTCTCATACCTTACTGAACCCCAAACTTGAACTATCAATATAGGCTTGTAAATAGTAAATTTTAACCAGTGACATGACAAAAGGTGCATAAAAAAAACAATTATGCATTGAATTAACTCCCTTTTATGCATTAATTTCCACATGTGCTCATAATGTGAGTAATAACTTGGCCATGAACTCACACACGCACACACACACTCGTCTCAGAGCTGTCGGTATCCATTATAGTGGCAGAAGATTATCTATCTGACCTTCTGTTTAAGGTCTTTATGTAGCTTTATTAAAGACAGGTCCTCCTGGCTCTGAATGAAAGGATTATTTATTTATTTTAGAGGTGTAGAACATTTCTATTTACAAAAAGAGATTTACTGAGGAGAAGGGCAGACAATTTGGAGTGCAGAGATTATTAGTTGGTGTCTTAACTAAATAGAGTTTATACTAGAGGAGTCCTTGTTTATTAAGGACTTAAAGAGCTCGTGCAGGTACAACCTAAAAACAGGAACAGCCTGAACATGTGGGACAAAACAGCTGATATGAATGATGCTTTTATCAAATAGTTGATTTAAGTTTGTTAAACTGCACTTTTTTTTGTCAAGAAATATGATTCTACAGCTTTTATTTAAAATACTATTTTCCACAAAACCAACATTTGAGTGTTTTTTTTTTTCAGTTTTTCAAGAAATCTGAGGGTGCTGCTTGAAAAGTTACAGTCAAAAATTAACAGCAATATTTTGGTTTATTTAGACTTTCATATGAATTATTTTTTTTTAAAGTCACCATTTCACCATGTTATAAATGTCATAGTTCCCAACTAAATATTTAATTTACAAGCTAAATATTTAGTTTACAAACTAAATATTTAACTTGCAAGTTAAATATTTAATATTTAACTTGCAAGTTAAATATTTAGTTAGTAAACTAAATATTTAGTTATAAATGAAATGTTTGTTTTTTAAACTAAATATTTAATTTCCAAACTAAAAATTTAATTTCTAACATAAACAATTAATTACTAAACTAAATATTTAATTTGCTAACTAAATATTTAGCTCGGGTCTAAGTATTTAACTAGCAATATAAACATTTAGCTAGCAAGTTAAATATTTTTGTCCAAAGTAAATATTTTGTTAGCAAATTAAACATTTATTTTGGAAATTAAATGTTTTGTTTATGAAATATATATTTAGGTCTGAGCTAAATATTTAGTTAGCAAATTAAATATTTAGTTTAGGAATTAAATGTTTAGGTTAGAAATTAAATATTTGTTTTGGAAATTAAATATTTAATTTTGAAAACAAATGTTTAATTTATAACTAAATATTTAGTTTACTAACTAAATATTTAACGTGCAAGTTTTCATTCAACCTTTATTTATACAGGTTAATCCCTTTGAGCCTTGGGGACTCATTTTCATTAAGTTAAGTTATTTAAGTGAAGCATTTAGTTTGCAAACTAAATATTTAGCTTGTAAATTAAATATTTAGTTGTGAACTATGACATTTATTAATGTATGAATAACATGGTGAAAATATGACTTTGAAAAAGAACAATTTTTTTTCTTATTAAAGGCTAAATAAACCAAAATATTGCAGTTAATTTTTGACTGTGTAACTTTACAAACGACACCCCATAGATTACAGGTTTGGTGGTAAGATCAGATAATGGTGTGAATGAATCGATGAACACGGGATCCTTTGGCCCACATGTACTTTACTCCATGGTCAGCTGATGAGTTTAGCAGAGGCAGATCCCTGCTAACCTTCAGCCCTATCTGATGACTGAGGGATTGTTTGGATTCAACCCTTTGTCTCAGGGATCTCCCTCTTGTAGACTGCTCATCCGACTAACACTGGGGGGGATTATATATATATATTTTGCCTGCATTCGAATGTGTCCCCATTTATCCCTCTGGTAAGATGTGTTTCTTTCTTCAAGTTATAAAGCAGATGGAAAAGGTAATCTGAGTGTACATTTTGTCTGGGTAAATTCTAGTTTCTTGCTGGAGAATTTGGAGGTAGCTCGTTCAGAGCTGTGTTGGACCCAGCAAGGGCTTCATCGCTGAGCCAAAGAGGGAGCAGACAAGGGACATTTGACAGGAGAGAAGAGAGAAGGAACCATCATGGGTGCAAAAAAAGAAGATGTGGAAAAATTCCTTAAGGAGAATCCTGAGTTTGCTCGAAAGTACTTTGCCAAAAAGATGAGCCCTTCTTCCTTATCAAAGGCATCAGGACTCCAGGAGAAACAGATCGACTTCGGCCACTTTCAGGAACTAATTCAGGTAAACGACACCTTTCAGTTTGATTTGTTGAAACAAACACGGACGCAAAATCACTTAACGGGGTTTACACAATCTCTTTTCCAAGGTCGAAGAAAGCCTAATAATGTACGACCTGATCAAAGACATGCAAGAGAACGTCAACATGGAAAAAGTGGTCTTCAAGATCCTGAAGAGGCTCAGCGCTCTCATCCACGCTGACCGCTGCAGTCTGTTCATGTACCGGCAGCGCAACGGCATCGGCGAGCTCGCCACGAGGCTCTTCAACGTCAGCAAGGACTCGGTGCTGGAGGACTGCGTGGTGCCGCCGGACTCTGAGATTGTCTACCCACTGGACATGGGAATAGTTGGCAATGTGGCCCTCACTAAGAAGACTGTAAACATCAAAAATGTCAAAGAGGTAAAGAGAAGCAGGGCAGCTTGGGTTTGGTTAGTCAGAGCAAACGAGTTATTCTAATGAGGAAGAGCTTAAGAGGATGAATGAATGGGGTGCAGATATTAAGTATGTCTAGACATGTTTGCAATGGCAGTTCCTGATATTACCATTAGGGGACAGCTACTAGCTAGGTCTAATACTGTACAGTATTTTAAACTACTGTTTAAGTATAACCTATTATTATTATTTTCTACCTGATAAATTACAGAAACCAGAGGCTGAATTGGCTTAAAGTACAATCTTGCTGATAAAATCACTTTTTTAGGCAAAAAGGCAAAACAATCATAGCAAAATACACGATCTGAATAGTTTAATTCTTCTACAGGACGTGAAAAAATAAGAGTTCACGCTTGCAATGCTGTACAGAGACACTATCTTTACTAAAAAGTAGTTACAATTACATTTATTTGATCTACAAAATGAAATATGAGAAAGTATTCAACAAAGTGCAGCGGTAAAATCAAAGTACAAAGATTTTTGGTAACAAAAGCCTAAGTTTAAAACACTGTTTGATTAAAATAATAGTTCAGATCTTTTGGAGAGGGATTTTGTTGGAAAGGTTATGGACAATCAATATCTTCCTTAGCTCTGTGAATGGTCTTAATTTGGAGAATTAGATTTTAACTCTAATCAAATTGATGAGCTAATGGCTAGTTTGAATGTTGCTGCTACTCTAAAACAATTCAAATCTACCATTTGTAAAGAAGTTTATGCATATGTTATTTATTTTTATTTTTTTAATCTTTCATTGATGTAGAATATAAAATATAGAATTTTAGAGTTTTTGAAAGCACAGGAAGTCTGGGGAATCTTTGGCAAGAATCGTATTATATGATGAAACTTGTAACAGTCTAAAGAGTCATAAAATAGGATTTGTAATTATTATTAAGAAAATTTTGAGATTGGAGCTGTTTCAAGACAGCGTGGATCTTTCATCTCGGCTCCACTTCTGTTTAGTCAGAATTAAAACTTAATTTCTCCAAACTGAAGTTGCTCAAAGAGTTATCTGCAGCAGGTAAGATACTAAGTGCTCACGGCCCTTCCACTTTAAAAGATTTGAACCTTCTCTTTAAAGGTGTGCATATTGAGATGCTATTTGTACACCTGAGCTAAAGTTTTTACCATGCTCTCAATTAATCTGCATGTTTTCATGAATCATACACATTTTAACCAAAACCAACTGGTTGTAAACCAGTAACATAGCTGCTGTGGACTTGATCAAGTGTGGGTGCATATCCCCTTATCAGACTTAATCCTTTTATTTTCAGATCCCATCAGCCTCTGTTGTAACTGTGGATTAGACGCCTCTGGCATTTAGTCAGCAGGAATCTAAAACAGATCAAAACTAGTTGGCGTTACTTTCAAATGTCACGTTCATAATGAGGCACAGTAAGGTTTTCTACGTCTATTGAAATGTAAAGATAGTTTCAAATTAAAATCAGCCATGACCTTTAGATTCATAATTGTGATGCTAGCACATCAAATGACCTGCTGTGCAATAACACTATTAAAAACCTGTGTTGCATTTGAAAATAATCATTTCCATGCACGTTAGTGTCTGTACTTTCTGTCTTGTTCAGAGTCAGCACTTCAGCTCATTTGTAGATGAACTTACTGAATACCAGACCAGGAACGTTCTGGCTTCGCCCATCCTCAACGGCAAGGACATGGTGGCAGTGATCATGGCTCTGAACAAAACCACAGGACCGCATTTCACTGCAGAGGATGAAGATGTGAGTGGATACAATGCAAAAGGCCGAGACCTCAAAATAAAATGAGCTTTTATCATTAAATTGGAAATTGGTGCCAACCCTTTGCCTTAAAGATTAAAGTACTGAGATAACTTTGTCTCATATAGATATATCGGTCTCATATAGATATATGATATAGATATTGTCTCATATAGATATATGCTATATCATTTAGATGATCAAAACAAAATATCCTGAAATTCTCTTATTAGCACCAAAGACAAAACAAAGAGACAAAGAAATATAAAAGTGTTCTGTATAATATTATTTCCTAAAACCTCAAGTTCTATTTGCATGTAAACAATTAGAAAAATATCTAATTAACCAATATGAAGAATAATTATGAAGCATTTACTTAAATAGTGCATACTAAATACGTGGGCCCAAGTCTTAAATGTTAAATAAATGTTATACATTTAGAGATTTGGTTGCAATTTGTATTTTTTTTTTTCTGGTTTGTGTTTGCAGCTCTTTCTAAAATACCTGAAAATTGCCTGTCTGAACCTAAAGATCTTCCACTTGAGTTACCTCCACAACTGCGAGACACGTAAAGGACAGGTATCAAAGCTTTTCTTCTTGTTCCAAGTTTCTGGTACAAATCCAGAAATATGTCATCACTGTTTGTAGATTATTGCTATTACTTAGCTCTCTTTTTGTTTTGTTTCCTAGCTGCTATTGTGGTCTGCTAACAAGGTGTTTGAAGAGCTGACGGACATTGAGCGACAGTTTCACAAAGCCTTGTACACGGTTCGAGCCTACCTCAACTGTGACCGCTACTCCGTGGGTTTACTAGACATGACAAAGGAAAAGGTAGAGTGCCATTTTTAATTATTTAGCCTTAATTTTAGCATGTGGATCATTACCATTAAAGTAATGACTGATGGCCATCGCCTTCCAGGAGTTTTTTGACGTCTGGCCTGTTTTGATGGGAGAGCAGCCACCTTACACGGGCCCTGTCACTCCAGATGGCAGGGTACGTTCTTTTGCTTAAATCTTTAGCATTATTAGTATCCATACTCTGTTTTGTAATACATTCATAATCAACCGCTGTCATGAAAGGCAGGTTACCATGCATTTGCTTGCATGTCGCCAATTTTTATTATTATTATCTACTTTTATTAAACCTCTATCAAACCAGATTAAAAAAACATTGAGATCAAGAGTTCTTTCACAAAGGTGACCTGGCCCCCCAAAAAAAGGCAGCAGCACACGTCATAACAACAAGACAAGTAACAAAATAACAGAATAGGACTTCAGAAATATATAAAAGCATACAATATGACAGTAAAAGGCAATGGTTGTAATAATAATAATTTAAAACAATGGTGATTTAAGATTTGAAACACAGGCACTGGTGACAAGATATCCATTTTTTTTTTTTTAAGTTTACAAAAAGCACTCAAAGTAATACATTTTTGACAGCTGTAATTCAGCTTGCAAGTCATTCCAAGCTGAGGGGACATAAAAGCTAAAAGCTTTCTTGCCCTTTTCTGTTCCTACACGAGGAACATAAAGATGCAAACAATCCTTAGAGCATAAAGCAAAACTACTGTCCATTCTTCGAATAAGAGTACATAAATAATGTGGAAGCAGGCCAATAAGAAACGTGTACACCAAAATCATCCAGTGTACATATTGTGTTATACAGGGACATTATACTGGTTTGAAGACAGAGATCACGTTGATGAGTAAGATAGCTACAAATAGTAATAAATCTTAATGCACAATGGATTCAATGACTGTAGACAACTGTTTGAAGCACACATAGACAACATCGCCATAGTCAAGTAGTGGCAAAGTTGTGATCAAAAGCTTCCTAGCTGTAAGGGAGAAACATGATTTGTTTTTGAAGTAGAACCCGAGCTTCACCCTTAATTTGGAGATTAGGTGCTTCACATGCATCTTAAAAGAAAGCTCCTCGTTGAAAATTAAGCCCGGGTACTTATAACTGAGACCCTCTTAACTTTACCTTGGACAGTTTTTATTAGAGGGATATTCTCCAATGGGACAGACAAATTAGAAGAAAAAAAAACCAACAAAACGACAACATTATTTTAGATTTATCAGCGTTGTAAAACTTATTTTAGTTTCTCAAGAGGAATCTGCACCTCATCGAAAGCAGCCTGTAAGAATTTAAATGCCTGAGCAATTTAACTAGAACAACAGTAAATTACACAATCATCAGCATAAAAGTGGTTGGAGGCGTTTTGCAAATTTTCACACAGTGCAGTAATGTAAAGTGTAAATAAGATGGGTCCCAAGACAGAGCCCTGGGTTACACCCTTTTTTACTTAAAGAAAACTTGAGCTTACTCCAGCCATCTGTACACATTATGTCCTATTTGCCAAATAACCTACAAAACCAATAAGATGCTTCTTTGGAGATGCCCAGTTTGAGAAGGATATTAAACAGGATTCTGTGATCCACCGTATAAAACGCCTTGGATAAATCAATAAACAGTTCAAAACAAACCATTTTTAGAATTCAGTGCCTCAAACACATCATTTCAAACTTTTAGAGCACAAGTCGCAGTGGCGTGCTGCTTTCTAAAACTTGACTGAAAAGATTGTTTCTAAAAATTCTTTCAGTTGATCACAGACCACTTTTGCCAAAACACACAATTTAAAATAACTCACAAACCACAAGATGGATTTTAATGCAACTCTCAGACAGAAATTATTGTACAAATATGGATTCAAGATGGCCACTACAGCAAATTAAGCTCATTAAACTTTTAAAACGTGCCTCTAACTTGGTCAGTTTTACAGATACTGAGTTAGAATTAGCTGTCATCACCAACACAAACTCAAACAATAAGTTATTAAACATGATCTTTGGTTAAACCTTTTGGCAGGGGCCAAGATGGCGGATGTTATGCATTCCGTCAAGGGATGCTTCTTTCATTTTAACATATGTTTTGTGTCTAATCTCACATTCATTCCTCTTGTAGGAGATACATTTCTACAAAGTGATTGACTACATCTTGCATGGAAAAGAAGAGATCAAAGTAATACCGTAAGCAAAACCACTTTTATTTGTGTGAGAATTTGATTTATTCAAGACGGGAACCAGTGTTTGCACTAATTCACAAGTGATTTAATGATGTTTCAGATGCAATCTGTGGTCACAGCTGCTAACTGGCATCTTGCTCTTTTGTCACACAGAAATCCACCTGCAGATCACTGGTGCTTGAGCAGCGGCCTGCCCACTTACGTTGCTGAGAGTGGTTTTGTGGGTTTCCTTTCATTTCTCCACGATTAGCATCAGAATCATTTAAGATCCCATAAATACATACACTGATCCTCCTGCTCTCTTTCTGCTCCTCAGATTTGTAACATTATGAATGCAGCTGCTGATGAGACATTTAAGTTTCAGGCAAGAGAAAGTTATTTACCATTAGTAGCCCCAAGATTTTCATAGAAACATACAGCATGAGTTTACTCTTTTCGCCACAGACAGAAGCGTTGGACGACAGTGGCTGGACCATAAAAAACGTTCTGTCGCTCCCCATTGTCAACAAAAGGGAAGAAATAGTTGGCGTGGCAACTTTTTACAACAGAAAAGATGGAAAACCTTTTGATGATCAAGATGAGCAGCTCATGGAGGTAACATTAATCTGACCAGATGGATACTTTTTTTATCCTTGGAACAAATGATTGATCTACTCATACTCCCTTATTTTTACAGATAAAGCGTAGAACTTGCTTAACATTGGTTTGTGAATTATTGTGCCCCAATACAGTTACAGAAGTATAAGGTTTATTTCTCTGATTCTTAGGCTTTGACTCAGTTTTTGGGGTGGTCAGCTCTGAACACGGACACTTACGACAAAATGAACAAGCTCGAGAACCGGAAGGACATCGCTCAAAACATGGTCCTCTACCACGTCAAATGTCGAGATGATGAGATTCAGGATATTCTGGTCAGTACTGCCCTTTTGAATTAAAAAATAAAATAACTAATCCATTAGTGAAACAGGGGTTTTTAACCATCAAAACACAGCAGAAACACATTGGTTCTACTGGAAAAGTCTGAATTTTTCTCATTTTCTTTCATTAAAATCCTTTTTCAGAGCATTCACTTACTATTTCTGATTTGTCCATATGCTTTGGTAAGTTTCAATGATTCAACTCTTTATGTAACATTTATTTTTTTTGTTTTTTTCCATGTTTTGTAGAACACAAGAGATATCTACGGCTGTGAACCCCAAGAGTGTGAAGAAGAGGAGCTTCTTGAAATCCTGGTATTGCCCTTGGGTTTCCAAGTTTTTTGTACTAGGAAAACAAGAGAAAGTCAAAGTTCTAAGAGTAAAATTAAGCGTTTAAGATTTTTTTTATTATCAGAAATGTCCATTTTCTAGTATTGTTAAGGTCTGTTCTTTTTAAATCGTCTTCGTGTTTTGTTTTCCACACCCGTCTTTCAGAAAAAGGACTTGCCTCCACTCATCAAGAAATTTGAGATCTATGAGTTCCGCTTTTCGGATTTCAACTGCACAGAGATGGAGCTGGTGAAGTGCGGGATCCAGATGTACTATGAGGTCGGCGTGGTCAAGAAGTTCCAGATCCCACAAGAGGTAATGTGGACCTGCGGGTATGCAGCATTTCTTTCTAACTGTGTGTAAATCGGCTTCAGGAAATCAGTTCTCTGTTTTCCTCTCAGGTGCTGGTTCGTTTCATGTACTCCATCAGTAAAGGCTACAGAAAAATCACGTACCACAACTGGCGTCATGGATTCAACGTGGGGCAGACCATGTTTACACTACTAACAGTATGAGTTTATTCTTCGTAATTACCTCTAATACCAATAGATTCTTATAATTTATTGAGTTTTAGTTTCTGTGTGCAAAAACCTAAAAATAAACATGATCATTATTGGTTTCTAAATTGTAGACATTTCTTTGTTTGGATCGTTTGTGTGCCTTTATACAATCAGACAGGACATCTGAAGCGATACTACACTGACCTGGAGGTGATGGCTATGATTACTGCTGGCTTCCTGCATGATATTGACCACAGGGGGACAAACAACTTGTACCAGGTCAAGTAAGTGGAATCAGTCCTGTAATTGATACAATCTAATAGATTATTTTTAATCCTCTTTAATATGACCCTTAAAGGTAAACCACCACTGACTGCAGACAAACTAAACTATCATTATGTTCGTCAAATACAACTCATAAGCATTTTCATCTTTGGAGTCAACATCAGTCCCAAATCTTTCTCTTAATAAAAGAGAATATTGGAAGGGGTGGGTGAATAGCACAGTTAAATGCAGTTCCTTCAACCCAGATCAATCAGGATCTTACAACTATTACAGAAAAAAAAAATCACCACTTCTTGGTTATGTTGAATGAAACTCACTGTAAAAACACTTTGCATCTTCCTAGTTGGGTTTAGGCTGTTGTACTGCTTAGTTAGTGTCAATGAAACACTTCAGTTAGGGCTAAATCAGCAACAGTCAGCAACAATTTTTCCTTGAAGCCTTTTATTTAGAAAGAAGCTGTGCTGCTCGTTGTACAAAATGTGTTTATGTGCACTTTTTTAGTGTACCAAAAGAACTGGTGGCTACATTTAGGAAAACAAGGCTACCAATGTCATAAATTCGAATCAGAATAAGCTTTATTATCATTGTACTGAGATACAGCAAAAATATGTTCGTACAGTCGCCCGAAAGATGGGCAGAGTGCACGTAGCTGCTGCTACTGGAGCGTGGCCTCTTATCCTTTTCAGAATACTTTTTTAGATAGAAAAGGGGGAAAATCCATGAGGATAGGATAGTGGCATTACAAAAAAGATCTCTTCACACCTTGTCCTATCAGGACACGATTTAAAACATCAAAAAAACTCTGCCAGCAAGCACATTTATAAACACGTTACGTATGCATTTCACAGCAAGGTAGTCCATGAAGTACTTCCAGATAGACCATAGTCCTGATAAGATGATGGTCATTTAGCAAAGTTCTGACAAGCCTCGGGGGGTCGCAATAGATGAAGCTTATTTCACAGGAGAAATTGATATGACGGCCTGTTTTCGAGGCCAACCAGGGGAGTCAGATTCAGATAAGCCACAATTATCGATTTTCTTCAGACAGACTGTTTTTTCTTGTCAGCCTTGAGTTCTACTGGTATTTTCAAGTTCCGAAATGGCCAAATTAGGGTGCATTCTACCAGTCCGTACTTACAAGCCCCTCCAAGGTCGTTTCCAACATGCTGGCGAGTCCCTTTTCAACCAGTTTGACACGACTGTCAACAAGGAAGAGGGCTGGCAATGGAGGAGGGGGCATGACAAAGAGACCGTCTTAGCACCAACATAACTGGTTTGTTCCACTTTGGAGTAAGCTGTTGGGGGAAGAATCAGTTTTGTGGTGTGTGTTTCCTTGACTGATGAAGCCTTCTGGATCCAAGGCGAAATGTTTCAGCACAAAAAAAAAGAAACTGTCCAGATGACCTGACTGAAAAATGTTTGATCTTAAGATTAAACTAACTGAAATTTGAGGACTTTGTTTACTACAACAGGTCTGGTAATCCTTTGGCCAAGCTACACGGCTCCTCCATCCTGGAACGACACCATCTAGAGTTTGGAAAGTTCCTTCTGGCTGATGAGGTAAAAAAAAAAAAAGTTGGATAAATAAAATAATAAATTTAACATGTCCACAACTTTACAGTCCCTAAATATGGCACGCCAACCTCTGCCTCCATATTTCTGCAGTCACTGAACATCTACCAGAACCTTAACAGGCGGCAGGTAGATCATGTGATTCATCTCACGGACATCGCCATCATCGCCACCGATCTGGCTCTTTATTTCAAGTCAGTGAGGTTTCTCATCTCCTTCCCAAGTTTGTTCACTTGTTCGGCTCTTGCTTTTCATAAAAGGAAAACAATAAAATGTTTTTTTTTTTTTTTCTTCTTCTTGCACCGTCTCAGAAAGAGAACCATGTTCCAAAAGATTGTGGACCTTCGACATACATATGAAGATGAGAAGAAATGGGTGGAATTCATGTCTTTAGAAACAACCAGAAAAGAGATTGTCATGTGAGTTCAACAAACTGTGTTTATTGACGCCGTGCTTTTACTGAAACTGGAACTTTTTCATCGCTTCAGGGCCATGATGATGACAGCATGTGACTTGTCAGCTATTACAAAGCCTTGGGAAGTGCAGAGCAAGGTGAGGCATACGTAATTAACAAACGACCAATAAGTAATGGCGTGCGACTTAAAAGCTGGTCAAAGGTGGATAATTGTTTGTATCTTCTAGGTTGCCTTGTCTGTGGCTGCAGAGTTTTGGGAGCAGGGTGATTTGGAAAAGACGGTACTGGAACAACAACCTATTGTAAGTCAGCAAGTTGGAATAAAAATAAATTGTTCTCAAGTATCTGTAGCTGACCAATTAGCTAGTTTAGTAAATTCATACATAATTTCTAAAAAACTAAATTACCGCAAGGTCTTTCAGAGGGATGGAGATCATTTGAGATAGTGAAGCCATGAGGCTAAATTATGGGATTAATAAATGATGACAAATCATGATTTAATTCTCTCTTTCATCAGCCTATGATGGATAGAAACAAAGCGGCAGAGCTTCCTAAGCTACAGTGTGGTTTTATTGACTTTGTCTGCACATTTGTCTACAAGGTAATGTATAGTATTAAATGTTCATGTATACTCAAAGCACTGCGTGTTGTACTCTAGTCTTTATTGTCTTTTGTAGCTTTCCAACTCTGGTTTCAGTGCAAAATTTTGGGGTTGGACAGACGTTTGCAATTATCTTTTTGCCTTTGCATAAAACATTTTTTTTTCTTGAAAAAACCGACACAGGAGTTTTCTCGCTTCCACCCACAAATCCAACCTATGCTGGATGGTATTATTAACAACAGGAAGGAGTGGAACGCTAAAAAGGAAGAGTACGAGGCGAAACTGAAAGCCATAGAGGATGCGAAGGCTGCTAAAGGAGCGGCAGCACAAGCCAAAGGTATGGTGCTCCTGTAAAATCACTTTTTATTCACAGTTGCAGAAAATACCTGGCGCTGTCTCACTTGGTGAACTTTAAAATGTTTCCATTGTAATAACACGTTATATGTGCATTTATTAGTTTGAAAGATTTTGAAGGCCACATATGAATACACCACATACCACCAAAGACCATATAAAATGAATGTTGTGGCAATATTGAGGTAATACCATATTTTTGGGACTATAAGGCGCACCGGATTATAAGGTGCAATATCAATGAACAGGTCTGTTTTCATCTATAAGGCGCAATAAGCGAAACAAAACAGTCAGATAAGTCAAGCTTTATTCAGCTCATTCACAATAACCACATAAAATCAGTTCTAGGTCAGTAATCACAACCAGAATTAATACATAAGTTGCACCTGATTATAAGGCTCACTGTCGATTTATGAGAAAATTTAATAATTATAAGTGCGCCTTATAGTCTGAAAAATACGGTAAATAATCCTAACGAAAATCAAATTCAAACAAGGAAAAACACTCATATTATTAAGTTAGTGTTGCTGAATGTTGTAAATACTCAACCTTTGACCTAGTTGACATGATGACAGTTTAGGCTTTTTTTTTTTGTTGAAAAATTTGCTAGCTGTAAGGCATGAGGATGGCAATATTATAATCTGGGACTGTTTTACCCTCAGTTAAATTTGGAGATTGCAGAAAGCGAATGGATTTAGGACTGAATGTTGCTATGTGTTGTCATCATTGTATGTTCCTATACAATGACAAAGTTAGTTCTCTGTATTTAACCCATCACACGTGAGACACCCAGATGGCGCAGTGGGCAGCTGAAAGCGCCTGGGGAGCAATTAGGGATTAGGTGCTTTGCTCAGAGAAACCACGATATGTGGGCATGGCTGGGAGTCGAACCTGCGACTTTCTGGTCCCATGTCGGCTGCTTTACCTCAACACCATCTCAACAGGCCTTCATAAGTCCTGAAAGTCCTTTTCAAAGGAAGTGAACTTTGCTCTGGTATTTAATTTATTGGATTTTTACCAGTTCTTCCAGTATCAGAAGCTAAATGGCAAAGAATTCAAACGCTTGTTGAATTGTGTCAAAACTTTCTGGTTAATATGCAAAGGAATAATGACTAACTATAAAGTATTTTCATTGTTAACTTTGAACATATGAATTTCATAACGTATTGAATTGACATTATTGTTCAGATGAATGCATGTAAGCTGAAATAACATTTTGAAATAATCCCAAAGTTAAAGATGAACATTTAGTCCTGACTGCAGTGGGTTCTTGATTCATTTAAATTGATTCATATATTTTATTTCTAATTTGTCCAATAGCTGCTGCAAACAACCCCAGTGGTGAAGGCTCCAAGACCTGCTCCGTGTGCTGAGACCACACACTCGGCTATAAATGTGTAAATAGGGGTTTAAGATGGAGGAACTTCACAAAGGTCTGAGAATCACAGTCAACACAACAGACTGATCGCCAAAGAATCAAATGTCTGAATCAATGACATGACAGAATCATTTAGGTTGATCCAAAGACCTGAAAATAGAATCAATTATTAAAAAACCTAAAAAAGAATGTTGTTAATAAAAAAAATAAATGAGGCTTTGTTTCAAGAGAAGATGAAGCACTTTTGGTTTGAATTAAAGCAAGACATAATTCAATGATGTCACTGAAGAACAATGGAATCACGTGAAAAGACTTCATCCATTATCTTTACTCGCTTCTTCATTTTTGGGTCGTGGGGGTCACTGGTGCCCATGTCCAGCTATCACTGTGCGAGAGGCGGGGGACACCCTGGACAGGTCTCCAGTCCATCACAGGGACAGATAGAGACAAACGAGACACCTAGGGACAGTTACCAATCAGCCTAACATGCATGTTTTTCATCTGTGGGAGGAAATTGAAGTAATGGGAGAAAACCCACACATGCACGGAGAGAACACGCAAACTCCACCCAGAAAGGTCTCCGGCTGGGATTTGATCCAGTGACCTTCTTGCTGAGAGGCAGCAGCTTTACCAACTGCTCCACTATGCTGCCCATGAAAAGACTCATTCTTGTATTTCAGATTCCTAATCTGTTTAAAATAGGTTTCCGTCTGGATTAGGTGCACTGTGTATGATCTGTGTTTATGCTCTTGTCATGAGTAATGTTTCTTATATGTACAGAAACTAACAACTTCTTGTATATATATATTTTTTTCTCATCATTTTTTTGTTTCGTAAGGCTTTTTTTCTCCAACTCAATAAGTACTATGAGGCACAGACTGTAAATACATTGTGTAGTAAATTATACCTCTGCACTGTACATTAAGTAGTGCATTACAAGTGCATCTAAAAAAAATTAGAATTTCATGAAAAACACAAAAATTTATTTCATAGATTCATTACATATTTAAAGCACTTGATTTATTGTAATTTTGATGATTATGATTTATAAATAATGAAAAACCAAAACTCTATCTCAGAAAATTAGAATACTCTGAAGAGGTTCAATAAAACTCCTGGTGTCACACCCTAATCAGCTGATTAACTCCTAGACAAGAGCTACAAATGGCTCATTCTTCAAGTCCAGCCACTCCTGAACCAGAGACAACATCAGAAGCGTCTTACCTGCTGAGGAGACAAGAACTGGACTGTTGCTCAGTGGTCCAATGTCCTCTTTTCAGATTAAAGTAAATGTTCATGTTATTTGGAAATCAAGGCCCCAGAGTCTGGAGGAAGAGTGAAGAGGCCCAGAGTCCACGTTGCTTGAAGTCCAGTCCGGACTCGCTCTATCGAGTTTTTTCAAAACAAGATTGAACATGACACAGAACCTACTGATGTATGAGCCGCACGATCGGCATGGAATTTTTAATAAAAAATATTATTTTTAAGTATTTAGCACCTCCTGCACCTTCGTGCGGGTCATGCTGCAGGAACTGATCAGCTGTTCTCTGTGCAGAGCAGAGAGGTGGGCGTGGCCAAGAGCGCTTGCAGGTGGCAAAGAGCAGCGGAGGCAGGGAGCTGAAATCATGACATTCAGTGCTCTTTTAGAGCGTTTAGAGTTTAGAAACACTGTTTAGAAAATTGCAAGAGTGTGAGAAGGGTTTAAAACGCCTTTATATATATATCTATATAAATAATAAAATAAACTACTACTTACTACTTGTACTACTATTCCTACTTCACAGTTTTTCACTTATCGCAGGTCTTCAGGGTACAGATCCCCCGCAATAAACGAGGGACTACTGTACTCTAATTTTCTAAAACACTGAATTTTATTTATTTATTTGTAAGCCATAATCATCAAAGCTACAAGAAATAAAGGTTTGAAATATTTCACTATGTGTAATGAATTTATGATATGACTTTAATTTTCAGAAATTACTGACAAAATTAACTTTTTCATGATATTCATTTTTTTTAGATGCACCTGTAGTTCAAATAGTTTCATACACAGTAGTTTCATGAATACAAAATAGATTTAAGATTCCTTTTAGATTCCAGTTTAATGTAATTCTTTATTTTCATGTTCATCCCTCTCAATTTATTTTAGTTCATTACTCTGGGTTGCAAATAATTAAATCTAGATTGTTTTTATGCTGCAGTCACTAAGGCAGTTTATTATAAAAATTAATCATGTGCAATAGTCATGTACATTTACAATTTGTAAAGTGTGTAGCTGCTTCTTCTGATGCCTTCATATGGTGTGCATGTGTGAGAAAAAGTAGATTCAGATACATTTTGAAAATGTAGTTTTTCAAAATGAATTCTGAAATAATAAATAATATTCAAGAGATCAGGTGGATACAAGCGGTTAATTTGTTATTTTGCTCTTTGATTGTTATGAACTGAAAACTCTTCAACAGCAGCACTAGTAAGTTTACTTAAACAATTTAAGGCCTGATCCATGCTGCATTAATATTATTTGAATTAGACATGGGGGTCCAATTATCAGGATTCTTTTGTACATCAAAGATCAAGCACTTGATGCATGACGTGCAAGGAAACCCAAAGAATGTGAAAACTGATCGAGTTGAGGACTTAAATCTGAAGCTGGCAGGCAGCAGCACTAACCACAGAACCCTTCAGTGATTCTGTTACTCCCAGGGACACAAAGCTGTTTCAGACAACACAAAGAAGCAACTCAGCTTTGCATAATGACCTGTACATACTACCCATGTTCTTGTAAATACAAAAGATTTATTTTTCAAGTCAAAATAGAGATGCTTATTTTTAATTAGAAATATTAGCATATATATTATTATTCCTTCTGCTGACGAGCTTTATGGAGATGCCGATTTCATTTTCCTGCAGGACTTGGCACCTGCCCAGTTTTTTTTTTTACTTTATCACAATATTCAAATTTTTTGAGATGCACCTGTTTACAAGAGTCCACATATTGAAAAATACAGTAACATGTGGGTGAATCAAATATGGATGCCTACTATTAGGAACTGAGCCTTTATGTGCTGGGAATGACATTTTAAAATAGTTTAAGCCCTGTTAACGTTACAGTCAGTATAAAAGCTTGCTTCATTATGTGTTCTAAGTGTACAGTGTGGAGCCAAATAAAGCAAATGTATTTTTATGTTCTTATTGAGTGAATTCATTTCTGACATTCTGAACTCTGCCATGATTTACTACTTATCTTTAACTGGTCAACGTAAGTATTTTTTACACTAGCAGCAACATACATGTGTTTATTGGTTGCAACTGTAAGATGAAATGTGCCTTGACCTTATCTAAACTCTCTGAACTCTACAATAGCTTCTGCTGTAGTGTTAAAATATTACACAACACAGGAGTACTGGGGATAACTTCTGCCCACGCTGCACTTTTACTACTGGTCCCTGACCCTAATCCTGGGATTACAGCTAAACCTGGCTTGGATTACAACAATACTTTTCCTCAGGCTCATCTCTCCATGAAGGACAGGTGCACTAGCTGCTCTCAGAACAAGAAGTGCCAGTGTTTCTAATACTTGCTCTACAAACAAAACTGATGAATGAAATTTTTATAAGATCTGAGAAATAATAAAATAAATAAATAAAATTATCTCTGAGGTTTTTATTTGACCATAAATTATTTTCAGGAGATGATTTAACAATGCACATCATTAACACGTTACATAAATAATGTGAAAAACAAACTGTTTTGCTCGAGTTCAATTCATAACAGATGTCAATACTGACACATTTCCTCGATGGTCTATAAACAGTTCATTTGAGGATGGTGTCAGAATCTGTGGCAAAGAGAGAAAAAGAAGAAAAAACATTAAGACTTTTTAAATGTAATTCCAAAATATGTTGTTTTATCACAATAAAGCAAAAAGTTGTATTTGGAAGACAGATGTTTTTTAGTCTAATGTAAACTGATCAGTTTTTCTAAAAAGTTTATATTTTGGTCTGTTTTACAGTCATTTGTATTTTTCCTGGCACTTTAAGTAACTAGTTTTTTTGATAAGTGTGAGATGAAACAAAAAAAAAAGGAAAATAAAAACCAGAATGAGGGTGTTCCCGTGTTACCTTCTGATAGTCGTTTGTAAATGCTCTCCTGCTGTTCTCGGAGCTTCTTCTCTGCTTCTTCAACCTTCCTCTCCTCCTCAGCTATGGGCTTCAGGTAATCTTGACATGGAAAATATCATCAAAGTCAATACATGGTATATCCTCTTTAGCATAAAATACCCAACTCAAAATCAGAAAGCCTAGAGTCATCACTTCAATTATATGAAGTAATTTACTGTACATCTAACCACCTGAGTGATTCAAGTTGCTATATAACGTTTTCATGAACCAGAAGGAGTCACAAAATGTTACTGGGCAACATTTTTATGACATGATTAAGCAAGCAAGTGAAATAATAAATTATTAGAATGGAAATACAAACAGCATGCAAAAGAATGCTTATGTAAGCAACAACAGAAAAAATGTACTTAAACATAAATTGAAGCTGAAAGAAACAAGTCATTTTTATTCATACTTCCTATTGTCTAAAATATGACAAACTAAGATGTTGTGCAAATATATATATAAACTAAAAAGTCATTTAAATAAAATCAACTTGGTTCAACTGGAATCAACGGATCCAGATGAATGGAAAGATGAAGTGGATGTGCACACATGAACTTACCAAACCTTTGTTTCCCATAGAGCAAACCGAGCAGCAGAGCAGACCATCTGGTGGTCTGTAATCAAGTAAATAACACTTGTTAGTCCACAAAATAATGGTATTTAACAAACTTTGTGAGAGTTGGGAACAGTATTTTTGTTTGTGCTTAAAAAGAAAAAAAACCAAAATCTGTTTAACTTCCTTGTGAATAAGTCTAAAGTTGAATTTACCACCATGTCTAACCAAAAGGATATATATATATTTTTTTTTTTACTGGAAATATAACACTCCCATCATTGACGGCATATTTTAAGACTCACATTTTAAGTTTATTTACAAATGAAGTGACAAAAACTGTGTTTTAGTATTCATAAAATCACTGTTGTTTCTTAATAAGCTAAAGCTACAGTACGTTTCCGATATAGCCTCCTAAATATACCAAATATTTTCGTCGTGATTATAAATAATGTAACAGTATTAAAAAGCAAAAGGCTTATCATATTTACCGGTTGATTACATTGACTGATTAGCAAACACAGGCTAACCCTGTTTCTATGTGCTAACCTGCCAAAGAAAAAAAAAAACGATCAATTGGTTTATGAACGGTCGCGTTCTGAGAATAAAGCTGTTATTTAAAAAAATAAAAATTGTATTTACACGTAAAACTGTGATGACACTGATGCTCGTTATTGTATTTACCTTAATGAGGGGCGAGACTACGACTGGAGGCGCCATGATGAAGTCAGAAGAAAACATCCGGTTTAACCGGAAATACCCTTTCTCAATAAGACCAATATTTGTTTGGATTTTATTATTTTAAACAAACAGTAAAGTAAATAAGAATTGCGGCAATATATATTTTATAATTATTTTAATCACAAAACACATACACTTTAATAACAAAAACTTAAACATATAAAAATGCATTTTAAAGACAACTGGCTTGCTTTATTTCCATTCTTGACAATGAAAATTACAAATATAATTGTTCTTTGAGTTTACTTTTTACTACAAGGGTCCTTAATGTTTTTTATGCATTAAAATTGGTTACACCAACTATAAAAGTAATTTTTTTTTTTTTTTTTTTTTAACTGATCAGTTCATAAAGTGCAGCAACAAACTCTTATATTAAGCCCAGGAAAAATTTTAACCCAGAAAGCGTTTTTTAGATAGTTGTTGTTCCTCCTAATCCAGAAATATTTATCACAGTTGAGTACAAGCACATCAAACGTTCTTATGGTTTTCACAGTGGAAACACATTCATGTCATTCAACGTTCTAAATAATAGGTTAAGCCCAAGTTTTTTTAAAAAACAAATACAACATAATGTAAAATTATTTAGCATACTTTTAAATTGTTTGCAATGTAAGAAAAAAAATTGAAACTGAATTTATTCAATGACCAGATTTAATATCACCCCTTATTAAATGCATTTGATGTTTGCTTTTATGAATCTAGTAAATATGTTATGCTAGATCAGAAGATGATATGTTATATCATCTGAAGGGAGGTGAGCCCACCTCACTGAACAACTATCGACCAATCTCTAAACTCTGCATTTTAGCCAAGGTTCTAGAAAAACTGATAAACTCTCAAATCAAAAATTACCTGGACTCATTTAACATCTTACCTCCACATCAATCTGGTTTCAGGAAACAACACAGCACAACCACTGCTTCACTGAAGGTTCTTAATGACGTTGTTGAAGCACTGGATGCTAAGGATTATTGTGCTGCACTTTTCTTAGACCTGTCTAAAGCTTTTGACACTGTGGATCATAACATCTTGTGTCATAAACTCTCAGAAATCGGTTTCTCAGATCACACCATTGGTTGGTTCTCTAACTATCTTTCAGACCGGAGGCAATGTGTTCAACATAATGGTACTTCCTCCAGTTATTTAACAGTCAACAATGGTGTACCACAAGGCTCAGTCTTAGGACCCACCCTCTTTACAATCTACATACATAATGTAGGTAAAAACATCCCTAATGCATCCATACATTTCTATGCTGATGACACAGTTGTTTATTGTCGAGCTAAAACAGTTGCTAAGGCTTTCCAGCTTCTGAAATCTGCATTTAACATCATCCAGACTGATTTGTTTCACCTCAAACTTGTCCTAAATGCCGAAAAAACCAAAGGGATGCTTTTTTCAAATAGGAAGTTGGTCCCAGCAGTTCTTCCTCCGATTTTATCCTCAAATGGTGTCCCCATTGAGTTTGTTGATTCCTATAAATATTTGGGTATCTTGGTCGACTCACATCTTTCTTTTAAGCTCCATGTGGAAAACTTGGTAAAGAAACTGAAAGTTAAACTGGGTTTCTTTTTCAGAAACAGATCCTGTCTAACCCTGAATGCTAGAAAACGCCTTGTATCTGTGACTTTCCTTCCCTCAATTGATTTTGGTGATATTATTTACATGAACGCTCCTACAAGAACCCTGCAGATGTTGGATGCTGTCTATCATGGTGCACTAAGATTCATAACTGGCTGTGATTATCGTACCCACCACTGCACCCTGTATTCACTGGTTAACTGGACATCATTAACTTCACGCAGACTCTCTCACTGGTACATTTTCATCTTTAAATCACTTCTTGGTCTGTTGCCTTCATACATCTCCTCCTACATGTCTCTGCATGAGTGCAGCTATGGCATGCGCTCTCAGGACATTATTACCTGCAGTGTTCCCTCAGTGAGGACTGAACTAGGCAAAAGGGCCTTCTCCTACTCCGCTCCTGTTTCCTGGAATATCTTACAAAAAGATTTGAAGCTCTCGACCTTGACCTCTCTAAGTGGCTTTAAGAATCTGTTGGACTCCTGGCAGGGACCAATGCAGACATGTTCCTGTTTTTAGTTTTATACATTTGTCTCGGAATCTAGCAGTTTTTTTGGTTTTGTTACCTTTTTCCTTTTAGCCATCCTATTTGTTAAAAAAAACAAACAAAAAAAAAAAAACTGTAGTATGAGTTTTTATAACTGCTTATTGTTGTTGCTGTTGTCCATTGTTGTCATCTTTCTTTGTTGAAATCAGGTCTCTCTTGTAAATGAGTCCTCGAGGCTCAATGGGATTTACCTGTATAAATAAAGGTTGATTGATTGATATATCAGGTATGTCCTAAAAGTCAGACTGTGGGTGCTACAGACAAAATAGGGATGTGAACATTTGTCAAAATTGCAATAAAAAACAACAAACAAACAAACAAACAAAAAACAGTTATTTTCTAAATCACATTTTTAATAGCCAAAAGACATAATCCAAATGCGCAAATTTGATCAATGATGTAAATAATCTGGAGAACCCATTTACAATCATAAGTGTTTCAACAAACTTTTCTTTTTTTATTATTTTCTTTTTCAGTCAAATAAAGATTTTCCATTTGTACATTATGAAATTATGCCTACAGGTGCTATTAAACAGTTCTTATTTGAGTAACAGTCTCTTACTGGTAATCAGGGTCTATTTTTGGTCTTTTTTTCTGTTTGACTTCCATAAGAGGACTAACTGAGAGCTGTGGTATAAATTCCTCTACCATTGCAATAATCTTATAAATCAAAGCTGTAGAGTTATAAAGACAATCTTGAAAAAGAAAAACAAAACAACAACAACAAAACTCAAATACTGTTTTCCTAACTGGCGTTTCTATGTATAAAATAAAACCACTTTTAATAAGTTGTTTTGAATTGTTTCTTTTTCTTTTCAGCTGCAAAACACACACACACTGTATTGTTCAAAAGACTTCACGTTAGCATATTCCTATTACGTCTGGATCACGTTGAACCTTTTCCACTTTCAAGAATTGATAAGTTATAACAGGGCTGCCAATGAAAGGCTCATTTACAACTTTTAAAGTACAAAATAAACATAATAAATAACACAGTAAAAACAAACAGTCTCAGTGTCGTCGGGGTGTCCAGGGTGTTTCTCAGTCGTTATCGTAGATGCAATCTATGAAAATAAAAGACAATCTCATAATTTTTACTCATAAAATAAAGATTTATTGAAAGCAATAAATCTGATATTTTGAAATCAGGTTGAAGTGGGTTTCTGTGGAAAGAAGTATGTGACATTCTGTAGATTTAAAAAAAAAAGCATTGATTTGTGTTTAAATGATACGTGTTAGCTAACGGCGAATAGACCAAGATGGTGAAACAAGAACATTGTTGAAAAAAAGGCACAGGGGTAGGATTTATTAGATTTAAACCTTTTCATAATCTACTGCAAACATAACATTGAGTTGTTTAATTACGAGCAGTGTGCAATTTCTATAATTTAGTTTTAGTATTATTCTTGTTTTTTTTTAAGGGTGGCGATGGGTATATTTAGCCTTCTTGTGCCAGCCATGTTTAATGTAAAAAAAAAAAAAAAGCTAAACAAAATAAGATCTGTGATGAACTAACGTCTGTGAATCTGTGTCAGAGTTGAGCCGGCTGATAGACACTGTGCCATCTTTATCAGGACTATGGAACTTACTGGCAGGGTCCATGGACAATTCACTGACCTCGTCGGCCTCCTCGTGCATAAATGTATTATGATGTCTTCAGTATGTTGCTGTTTCATGAGCTAAGGTTGTTGGCTTTTTTGCAACTTTAACACTGTGTCTCGTCTAGATACCTATTCGCACGGGACTAGTTTTACCTAGGGACTACATGCTATTTGTGATAATTACAGAGATTGTCTGTGTTGTTAATCCCGTGTAAATCAGCCATGTCAGTAATAATTTGTAAAGTAAAAATTCCCTCCACTAGGGCAGCACGGTGGCGCAACTGGTAGAGCTGCTGCCTCTCAGCGAACAGGTCCCTGGTTCAAACCCCGGTCCAGGGGCCTTCTGGGTGGAGTTTGCATGTTCTCTCCGTGCATGCGTGGGTTTTCTCCGGGTACTCCGGTTTCCTCCCACAGACCAAAAACATGCATGTTAGGCTGATTGGTAACTCTAAATTGTCCCTAGGTGTGAGTGAGAGAGTGAATGGTTGTTTGTCTTGATGGATGGAAATTCCCTCCACAAAGTACCTGCTATATTTTGCTGAACTTAGAGGGCCTGTGATAATATTAATCCAATGTGAATAGGCATCTCTGTGATTTGGACAGAAATGGGTGGGATCCGATATGCAATTAGATGTTTTTTGTTTCTTGGGCACATTTTTATTTGCTTTGGGCAATGGAGGCTGTGTTGGAGTGCGTAAATAACCTTTTGTGTCCCGGACCAACAAATATCAACCCGTAACGGTTGCCATAAAAAAGAAAAAGCTGAAGAGAAGGAGGACGTTGCATTACATGCGAATGTTAGGCAATTCACAGCACATTAACATCATATCCAGAAGATGTACGTACATTTTGGCTAAATCTCAGGCTTTGTTGATCCTGTGCAAAAGCGCCACATAAAAAGCAGACGTCGGGGAGTAATTTATTTATTACATGTGGTCCCTAAGTAAAACGATCAGAGACATCTGCAGCCAGTTTCTTAGGATCCACTGTGGGATGGACCTCTACAAGAGATCCTCTCTACAAGAGAGTGCTTTACCTGTTGTAGATAGCTCTTTGATCACGTTTAGTTTTAGAAAATAAAATCTTATTTTAACCACGACTTGTAGCTAATATCTTGTTTAAGTGTGACCTAAACTAAAGTCGACTGCTTTCATCTGAAAATGATTCAAGTTTCAGAAATTTTAGAACATTTTATTCTCCCCTATTTGTAAACCTTTATATTGCTGTCAATTTAGAAATTTTGCATTATATATGTATTTATGTAGAAGTATTTGAGCCTCAGATTCATCTATGAGGATTATCATAATGTTTCTGTTAGCATTATGTGAAACTGACAGCTTTTCAACGTTTAGCTCATAAATCTCCTAAGAAATAATTTCTCCAAACTGAGTCCTTTTCAAAGAGCTCTGTATAAAAAAGTAAGATAAAAAAAAAAAAAGTTCATAACATTTATACAGAAGCTCACGTCAAAAGATCTGAGCTACTTCTTTAACATACCATCTCCTCCAATGTCATCGTAGATGTCTCCATCACTGTGGACCAAACATAAGAATCAGTGTGGGTATTATTTAATGTCTCATTAACAATGTGTGTGTAAATCATACGTACTCAACAATGTTGCTGGTGGAAACATAGCCATCTGCAAAATAAAGATTTTAGACTTGAGACACATGATACAATTGTAAAAAAGTATAAAGTCACCATTTATTATATACACACATAAAACCACTGTATATTTGTGCTCATTAGTCAGCAGAAGGTAGAAAACAAATTCTCACATTTGCCGTCGTCGTTCCGACAGATTAGTTTGTCGTCCTGAGCTTTAACAATGACATCAAGCTTCTCTCCAGCTTTAAGCGGCAGCTCTTTACCGCTGTACTTCTTATTGAGGAGATTGGTCTTGATATTCACCTGGTACAGCACATGGATCTCTCCGTCATACTAAAAAAATAAGAAAAATCATGAATCCCATCAGGCTGTTCATTTGAAAGAGGGCAATTTATTTAAAACACATGAGAAGGACAAACTTTAAACTTTTTCCTGAATTCCTTCTCCTCTTTCTCAAACTTCTTCTGCTTCTTCTGGTCCATGTCCTCAGTTTTGCGCTTGATTTTTATAACAGGGAGGCTTTATGTACAAACAATCAGAAGTTAGCGGGCAAAATATGAACAGCTGTAATGAAAAATTTGAACCATATTTAAGTAGTTTTACCTGCTTATTGGAGGAGGGGGAGGTGCACTTTGAGGGTCAACATCATCATATATCTCTTCATCAATTGCTGCACCTGAGTGATCTAACAAAAATACATCAGTACGGTCAACGTTTAACCAAGCCGCATACAACAAAACTGTGTTTTCATTTGAAAATAAGATTAATGATAGAATCTGCCTAAATACAGTAAATGCAGAATAATTCTGAGGTAACAAATACGTTTAGATAGGCAGACAAGTTTCAGACTTTTAATGTTTAAAGTCTAGTATTATAAACTTGAGATAAATTTATGTACTGAAAAAAAAAATCGATTAACCAAATTTAGCGTCAACTCTTCTTAAAACAAATATCAAAAGAGGGTGTGAAAATTAAACAGCTAGCTATTAGCTTGAATTTTAAGTTGTTTTTTTTTTTAATTGTAAATTTTATTTCTACAAGCCTTCCACAGAACACCTCTTCAAATAAAATGTTAACTATTATATGGTTTAATAGCATTGAAAACCTGGATGCTGTCTAAATATTGTGAATTTACGTGCAGGAGACTGTGACTCACACAAAGCATGATCGCTCATTAAGCAAGACTCAGTATTACACTTTAATAATGTGAGTTTTATAAAGATTCTGAATGTGCAGCTGTGTTAAATGAAAACTTTACAATAAAGCTTTAAAACTCTGTAATACTTTACAATAAGGAACACAAAATTTGCTTAACTACTAAGGAACGTCTCAGGAACGAATCAGAACCTAATGGGTAGTTAACCAGTACTTACTGGGGAACACACAGTCAAGCCTTATTGGGGGACTGCTGGTTTGTTACCTTGTAAATGAAGAGGAACTAATTGCTAACTAATGGGTAGTTACCAAGTAAACCAAAGAGGAATGTATCAGGAGCTAATTAACCAGTACTTATTGGGGAACACACAGTCAAGCCTTATAGGGGGACTACTGGTTTGTTACCTTGTAAATGAAGAGGAACTAATCAAGAACTAATGGGTTGTAACCAAGGAACCCAAAGAGGAACGAATCAAGAGCTAATGGGTAGTTAAGCAGTACTTACTGGGGAACACACTGCCAAGTTTATTAGGGGACTGCTAGTTTGTTACCACAGAAATAGAGGAGAATTTCTCCATGTGGGTTCTGAATAAACCCTGCAACAGTGAGGTCACAACTCATTTAGTCAAAAACCTGTTTCCTAGCGATTACTGATTTCATTGGATTTTCTCTTTTATAAACCTATTGGTTAACTACCCATTAGTTATTGATTAGTTCCTCTTCATTTACAAGGTAACAAGCCAGTAGTCCCCTAATAAGGCTTAGCTATGTCTTCCCCAGTAAATACTGGTTAACTACGCATTAGTTCCTGATTTGTTCCTGAGGCGTTCCCTTGTAGTTAAGCAAATGTTGTGTACCTTATTGTAAAGTGTTACCGGTTTCTCTTTCAAATATGTTTATTTTTGGTTGTAATTATATCCTGGGGGTACTGGAACTGGCATACCGGGCTGCAGCCTCAAGTGGCCGTTCAAGGTACTGCAGTTAGTTTTCACATTGGCTTAATTTCTCAGTCTATGGTGTACCATTCTTGGCTGTATGGATTGACTAACCATGCTGTCAGTGACTAATACAGGTAAGATCTTTCCCCTGATTTAGTGCATAGAAATACTAAAAATTCATTAAAAATAACTGATAATGGATGTTTAGGAGCACGGGGAAACAAAACAGTGTTTTTAATCAAATTCAGACTAAAACAAATCTTATTTTTACACTTTACAGATAAGAGTGAATTATAATGCTTCTCAGAAAGAAAGTGTGTGTTATTTTTAATTTTTTTGGATGCAACATATCTGTTTAGTAGTTTTCATCTTTAAAAGGGGCTTCATGTCCTGACAGTTTAAAACAACACACTATTAATAATGCGAGTGTTACCTGAATTCCCATCTGCAGTAAACTGGCTGGGTGGAGGAACTCTGGCATAAAACAACATCAATAAAGGTTTAAAAGTCATGTTGTTGCAATGCTGTCTATGATTCAGTGAGTATGTTACCACAGTTTAAATGTAACATGAACAATCAAGATCCCGAATTACAGGGTTGGTTAGTATACACTTGTTAAAAACATTTATGTACCATGCAGTTATCAGTTACATGCAACTCACTCGTGAGGATTAGTAAACATGCACAAGTAAAGGTCATAGTTAAGAGTTCAACCGTTAAGATTGAAATCATCAAAGGTTGAGGAGAGATTGTTAATTTTATGCTGATCTGGCTAGAAAAAGTTAAAAGTTGTTTGTTTTTACAGGAGATGTATAGCCATCAGTTCTGACTGAAAGTATTAGAGATTAAGGACAGAAGATCTCTGATCAGTCTTACTAATGAGTGTTTTTTACGCTTTAGAGCTGGTAAAACGTCTGTTTCGATCAAACATCCGCAGGAAGCTGTGGGGCCTCGCAAACAAGGACCCGGGTTCAGTGGAACTGGAAAGCCACCCAAGAATGAAAAGTTCGAAATTCCTTTTTTTTCTGGTTAATTTCTGTCACTTTTTCAAAAGTATTCCCATCCTTTGCAGTGCTTTTTGTAAATTAAAGAGTTCAAATGTGTTGTGATGTAACATTCATTCTGTTCCTACCTGACTTCCAGATTTGGATCGACCACATCATCATAGATTTCTCCTTCTTCTCCTGGTAGGGGGGGTAGGACCACTATAAACAGAAGGAATGGAATCATGTGAATGGCTTTATGATTTTTATAGGTAATATAAGCGCCAAATAAAAAAAAAAAGTAGGACGAAATAGTAAAACCAGATGTAACAAGTTAAGATTTTACCTGTTGGTCCTTTGTTTCCACTGCAGAAAGACAAAAAATATAAGCATAAACTTAAAAGACTCATTTTAAATCTTACAAGTAAGTGAAAATATGCATATAAGGTGATCATTGTCCAAAGTTAAACTGCTGCAGATGTTTGAATTAAAGGAACGCTGGCGTTTTATATTTTACTGACTTGTTTTCAAAAAGCACTTTATGTTGCAATTATGAGTTCTGATGTTTGTTGATGATACATGCAACTTTTTTCTTGTTGACGAAATGTCTCCTTTTTGAATTACTACGTTGTTTTTATGGTATTCTGAATCACATATGGAATAAGACCATCACACTGAGGTAAAGCCACAATAATCAATATATTGCAAATGACAATATCAAACTTTAAACCTCTTAAAATGTTTTTATAAAACAAGTGTGTTCAAGTCTGGTGATGAAATGTCTCTTTTTCTGTTGCACTGTAATTTTATTTATTTATTTATTTATTGGTATGGTAGAAAATATCTTTATTTTTGGTTATCTGCACCTCGTCTGTGCAAGTGACTAATAAAAAGTTGGATACTATATTTTGGCGTTTCTGGTACCTGGTATCCGATGAGACGACATCAATGTCGTCATAAACTTCTGGATCATAATGCGCTGAATGGTTCTTCAGTGAGTTGAAATCAATTTCCACTGACGTTGTTTTAACATATCCAACTGGTAGAGAAGAAAGTACTTGGCTTATTGCTCTGATATTCCTTATATTGTGTTTTGTTTTTAAATCACAACAGCAGATATTAAAGATATAAAGAAATTTGATGATATGGATTATAAATAAACGAAACAAAACAAAAAAATCCTTCCCAGACCAAATTTACCGTATTTTCCGCCATACACGTCGCACCGCCTTATAAGTTGCATCAACAATAAGTGGAAAAAAAAAACATAAATACATTGCTTTGCCGTATATGTCACATCTATGCGTCACCACTGACAACCGGGAAATGTGGGCCAGTGTTGTGACAAAAATCGATTGGCTGAAATATGGTTGCCGCTGGAGCGTGCACAGGAGGACTTTAAAAAGAATTTAACAAGATTAACACCTAAAAACAATTATTTGTTTGCTCAAAATTATAGCAAAGGTGTGTCTCAGTTTAACTTTTGCTTAATAAATGTACTTTATTGGTCAAATCAGCTGCATTTCAAAAGTGTTCGCTGCCTCGGTGCTCCGGGAGCACGCACAGGAGGAAATCACGAAGGCTCTGCGCATTTCTTCAAAATATAACAAAATAAGCACCTAAAACATTTATTTGTTTGCTCGACATTATAGCAAAGGTGTGTCTCGGTTGAACTTTTACTTAATAAATGCACTTCAATGGTCAAATTAGTTGCATTTCACAGGGGCGGCACAGCGATATGAAGCTGATTTGATGGCTGCTCCAGCATGATCTCAGAACTAGACGAAGGTGGCAGGCTGTGGCAAGCGGACTGTGTCATTAATAGCCACTTTTACTTATTACATGACACAACTGCATGCCATAATACTCGAGTGCCATCTAGCGGCTGAAAATGGTAGTGTTCATTATTTTCCATGTCAGAATGAATGAGAACGGTCATAGCAAAAAACTGCAATTTATAGGCTGGAAAATACGGTATTTAAGAAAGCCTTACCAAGAAGGGATTTTTAAAAAAAAAGAACTATTTATTTTTTGTAAACGTACTTGATCCATCCTGTAATCGAGCCAACCATTTCCCCTCTGGATTGCCCTGAACTCGGATTATCTCCAGCTGGTCTCCCTGCTTCATGACCAGATCAGATTTGCCGCCTTTGCAGTCCGTGAGAGCCTTTCCTTTCTGAATCACCAACAGAGGTGATCCATACAACTAATACACACAATTACACACAAAGGCAAAGTTAGTAAAAATATTCTGTAAACGCTTGAATTCTTTTATCTAATTCCATGCAAAAATATGTTTTTGTAGTATTGAACTGATCATTTGATTTCAGCCTTCTTCACTCACTTTGAACTTCTTCCTGGCATCTTGTTCCTTCTTTTCTCGTTCTTTCTGCTCCTTCTTTGCAGCTTCCAAACGCTTTTTCTCCTCTTTGTCATCTTTCTTCTTTTCTTGGCTCCTCTCAGCTTCTTCCCTTTTGTGATCACAAGCATGTTGCAAAAAAAGTTGAAAAAAAAAACACCCCCACAAACTTGTTGGAAAAAGTATTTTAAGTTTTGAAAGATCGTTAAATACAAACACATGCATGCCTTTTGTGTTTTACAGTGTTTGAGGGAAAACTGACAACCAAATGTACAGTGAGGTTCAAACCTATTTAAAGTGCATATAGCACGAACAAAATTAACTTGATGTATTGTGACCTGTGTTTGCACCAAAGCCATACAGTTTTGCAGTTGACAACATTATGTAAAAACCCTAACCAACCCAGTTAAATGAAAACCCAAACATTCAATTCAAATCAGAACACAGTATGTTTGAATTTATTATGAACTAACTTAAAATAAAAAAATAAAAACTGTCAGTAACTGTTGCTTACCATCGGTTGTCTAGATCCTCATACATATCTCCTTCTTCGTCGTCATTATGTTCATCCTATAAGCAGGCAAAACTCAATATGAGAACATCTGAAATTGTATTTATACATATAGACTTTTTCAAAATCTGTTTTCTGTATTTGAATAAATATAATCGTCCTTTACAGGAAAGTTGAAAAGATTTTCAAAATTTAAGATTTTCACTAGTTTATATTATTTTTAATACATTTGATGACAAACAATCTGTATTTTGCTCAAAGCAAGACAAAATACATTAACAGAAATCAGCCATGCGTCTGTGTTACGTCACGTTTTCTTTAAATTACATGTAAAAATGTGGCATCATCATCCTGTATTTGAAATCCTTAGCTTCCTGCCTCACTGTCCGGTGCAGATTCTCATGGACAGGGCTCTAAGCATGTAACTTTTGGACATCTGTGAAAGCCTTATCATGACCGTCTCTTGCAAGTAAAAGACCGGTTATGAAAATCTTCTCATGTTCTCAGAATGGCTTATTTGTGTAAGCATGATGATGAAAGGATATTTATTTATCTAACAAAGTACACTGGTTCTAAAAAGCTACACTGCTGTAAAATAAGTTCAGGCATAGTCCTGTTGATGCGTCCTCTGGCCTCCAGGGTGAGCAGGTCACCCTGAAGATGATAAATGTTTTTCTTCTGATTGCTGTAAGTGATCAGAGAGTCGCTTTTGTACATCCTGTCTTCTTCTTAGCACCATACATCTTCCATAAACTTTTCTGCATGCAACGATACACTTTAATGGTTTTCCACATGGATATGGCTGAACTGGTCCTAGCCATCTAACAGTATTTTTTGTCTTTTAAGCACTGGGGTCTTGTGGCTCTTTAAGTCTTTTCACAAGTCATGCATGTTATATTTAAAAACAGTCCTGACGCCCCCATAAGTTTTTTTTTATTTTAGAATGATGTTACTTGCACTTAATTGTTTAAATTTTAATTTTTTTTCTGTTTGTGTTTTTATAATGGTTTTTAAGGCATTGCATGAAGGTGTGCTCCTTTACTTTTGCTTGAAAACATCTGAACAGAACTCCAGCTCCTCTGTGACCATGAACAAAACAAAGCAAATTTATTTTGTGCACTAGTGCTTTAGTTCCTTTTTTGTGCATTAGTGTTTTAAAACAGTGTTTATCCTCATAGTGCTCCAATATCAATATTTCCATTTTATTCAAACTTGATACTTTAACTTTGTGCTACACTATTTTTACACCTTTAATCCTGTGGCTTCTGCATTTACACGAGTGTGAATAATTCAGCATGTCTCACCTTTGCAGGCTTCTGATTCGGGTGGTCTGCAGGACAGAAACAAAATGCTACATGTGAGCTTGATATGTGTGAGATAACAGAGGTGTGTCTGACAGAAAGTGCTGCAGAAACATTTCTTTTTTAAATGCAAACACCTATACATTAATAAAACTGTCAATGCATCAATGAACAGAAAGGCACTTTGACACAGTCAAATTTAACTAATTGACAGTAAGAAAGATTTTATCTGATGATGGCAATTGTTTTTTTGTTTTTTTTCTATTCATGAATATCTGAGCAAGGTACAAAATTCAAAGATAGCATATGATTTATTCTGCTGTGCATCATCTTTGGTTGCTAACAGAGAAACCAATTGATCATTACTGAACCTGAAGGCAGAGGAGGAGGAGACTCTCCATCGACATCGTCATAAATCTCTTCCTGGTTCCTGAGGAGCACAGTTTGGGTTTAGCTGCTGTTAGTTTCACCCAAATAACACAAAGCACAGTGTGTATGTGTCTATTGGAGAGGGGTTGCTGGACTTACATGGCTCCAGGATGTCTTGGAGGCAGATTGGGCAGCGGTGGTGGAAGGGGTTGCGTCTGGGTCACATGGTCGCTCTGGTTATATTGAAGAGTGGAAGGCGTTTGGAGGATGGGTTTCTTGAGACCTGGACCTACAACAAAACCAGATGGTGCTCAAAACATGACACTAATAGTGATCTCTGCTGACTGTTGCACATGTTCAAATAAAAAAGTAAATTAAGAGATATATGTAACTAATTTTGTTGGCCTTAAAGAAAGAAAGCAGGACAAACAAAGTGAGTTTGGACAGGTAATTTTGTTAATACTGTAACTCAGTTTAAAAGTTAAAAAAAATGTTCTGGACTTGTTTGATTTAATTAGAGATTAAAAAAAAATCAGCCTTGAACAGTTTTTCAATTCTTTGTTAAACTGAAAAATAAATAAAACAACAAATTTTTAATTGCCCCCAAATTTGATGTATGTAATATATAAATAAGAAAAAATAAGTAATATGTAATAAATTAAAATAAATTATATAGTGTCAGAAAAGTCAATTACACAACTAAAAGTACTTATAAAGTGTTTGGGATGACTCTCACCTACTACTACACCAAATATTAGCTCAATATCTGTCAAATTGATTGAGTTATAAACAAGTTTATGTTTATTAGGGTTGATTGGCTGTAGTGGCCATCTTAAATTGTATCGGCTCCAAAAGTTAATCAGTTGTAGATCAGATGATTACTTTCTGAGTTTCATTAAACATGGTCTGTGGGTTCATTAGATTTTTTTTTTCCAAAAGACTTAACAAAACAGACATGGACAGAGACAGACATTAATGTATGATTTTCATGGTGAGCGATAAAAACCTCCCTATAAACAGTAACACGCAACACAGAAAAGAAAAGGAGAGCACAAAGTTACCAGTTTTTTCTTATAAAAGACATTTTGACTTGTCTCATCCTAAAATGAACAAGTGCACTGATTAACGTTACAACATGGCCAAAGTTATTTTAAGTACTTTGTTAAAGTTGGACAACAGGCACTCACAAAAGGAAAACTTTCTCAAAACTGGAATGTGGCCATCATGTTTTAAATTTTTGTTTTTCTTGCTTGCCCCTCGGCGAAGGCAGACGCTTCTCCCTCCTGCTCCGTCCCTGCTTTGCTCTTTGTCCTGTGAACCTTTTTCAGAGCCTCTTTCTGCACATCTTCCAAATTGTAACTATGGATCTGATCAGCTGGTCTCTGAATGCAACTGATCAAATTTTCTCAACAAGAAGACAGGGTGAAGGAGAGCCCTCCTGCCCTGACAAGACACTTGCAGCCGAATACACGATGGATTCCTGGGGTAAGTGGAAGATTGTGTGTCTCTCTATACTGTCGGTCGAGGACGCCGAAGATGTGTACAAACTTGGTTTTAGAAGAGGATTTCTGTTTGGAGTCGCCAGGCTGTAAAGGCAGATGAAAATTAAGAGCTTGGCCTGACCCAAAACAAATGCAGAAATACCTCCTCTTCCCTCGTGGTCCCCTTTTTCTAATCTAGCAAAAAAGGAGCATCTCTCAGAGGCTGCCGCCTCAGTCACCCCGTCTACCCAAGTCTGTGTCTGTTTGTTTGTTTGTTTGTTTGTGGTTCTTCCAATGGGCTGTACTGAAATGTAATTTTTTTGTGCGCTGTGCAATGACAGTCAAGCTGATTCTGATCATGAATCCCGCATTTCCTGCTTGGACATGTCCAAATCCCTGGAGGGAAAATCACTGCTCCATTGAAAACCTGTGTTAAATAATTGAATGCTCCCCAGATCTTCTGAAATGTTCTTAAGGTACTTTAACGATACATTGTATTTGCTCGTTGCTTTTTAGGCCAACAGTCAGGCTTAAGTTTTGACACAAAATGAACTGAGATAAGGTTCTTGTCTAAATATCGCCCTCTAGTTTAAATCCATCCCTCTTTGCTGGAACTTACTTCCCCTTGTGGTAAAGCAAGCTCAGCTGTGAAGGGGGGAGGAGAAAGGAGAAACTGGATGGGGAACTTGTCCGTGGCAAATAGAGGAACCAAATGTGTTTCTGTAATTTCTGCCTCTTATCAGAAGCTTTGAACAAAGCAGCTTTTATGAAAAGCGAGCACATTTTGGGCAGACTACTGAGAGCTTAAACTCAGATGTAATCACCCTAACACTAAAATATCACCTTCCTAAACAAAAAAACTGCTTTATTTCTAAGATAATTGTGCATTGTTGTTTTGTATAGGATCTAAACAGACTAAATTTTGCTAATGTCGTAGAGACCTGTGAAGTCGTTTATCACACTTCTGACATGAACCAAACTGCAAAGTGACACAAACTGAACTTTGCACTGTTTATCATCTACAGGAAATATACTTGAGATGACAAATTAAGGGGCCTTCCTCTTCTGGGAGTCACAAGACAAAACTGGTTGAGAAACCAGCACTGGCTCAGCTTTGAGAGTTTGTTTCACGAAACAATCAAGAGGTTTGTGAATGCAATCTAAGATCTATATTATATCTGTCTGTGGGGCTGCATGAGCATCTTTACTGGCTGGCTGAAAACCCACTTTCCTGTTTTAGTTGTTTGCATCACAGTGTCAAGTAATCTATTTACTGAAGATGCAGAGCTGATCTGTCAGTTCAGTCCATTTATAGGGAAGTTATTCTAAAAAGCAATGAAATACAAGTTGTTGTTTTTTTTCGAGCGATTATTTCATCTTTGTCTCACTTTTCCAAAACAATGACAGAGGATTTTTAAAACAATTTGTCTGTCCCAGTAGAGAAAACCATTTGACTCATACCTTCTCCCTCTCACTTCGTTCCTAATGTGTTTATCTGCTGCTTCATATTGTCAGATTGGTTCTGATGAACCCATGATGCTCGAGGCTCAATGAGACTAACCTGTATAAATGAAGGTTGAATTGAATGGTAACACTAGAAATGCTGAAATTTTCATTTTCACCTCTGCTTTTGTAAAATCTGCCTTTTCATTCGATACAATTTATGCTCTGTGTTAATGTAAGTAGAATGATGAACTTCTGCACTACATGAATCTGTATATTAGGCTCATATCTGCTAAACTTAAAGAGCAAAGGGGAAAAAAAAAGTTACTCATTGATTAAACCATTTATTGAAGTTTGTGCTCCTTTTTAAGAATATTTACATTTCAAATGAGGTAAAACAAATCCAAAAGAAGCTTATACTCAGTGGTGGGATGTAACATTTTCATCTTTAAATCACTTCTTGGTCTGTTGCCTTCATACATCTCCTCCTACATGTCTCTGCGTGAGTGCAGCTACAGCGTGCGCTCTCAGGACATTATTACCTGCAGTGTTCCCTCAGTGCAGACTGAACTTGTCAAAAGGGCCTTCTCCTACTCTGCTCCTGTTTCCTGGAATATCTTACAAAAAGATTTGAAGCTCTCGACCTTGACCTCTCTAAGTGGCTTTAAGAATCTGTTGGACTCCTGGCAGGGACCAACGCAGACATGTTCCTGTTTTTAGTTTTCTACATTCACCTTATAATCTAGCTGTTTTTGTTACTTTTTTTTGTCATCTTCTTTGTAAAAAATAAATAAAATTTTAAATCTGTATGCCTTTTTAGAACTGTCTATTGTTGTCGCTGTTGTCCATTGTTGTCATCATTCTTTGTTGAAATCAGGTCTCTCTTGTAAATGAGTCCTCGAGGCTCAATGGGATTTACCTGTCTAAATAAAGGTTGAATGAACTAAGTACAAGTACTTCGTTGCTGTACTTAAGTACATTTTTCATGTATCTGTACTTTAAGCAGAGTTAAACACAGATACTTTCTACTTTTACTCCACTACATTTTATATTCAGTATCTGTACTTTCTACTACACTACATTTCTGTAATGCGTTGTAGTACATGTTACATTCATGTTGTGGTTTTTTTAATTTGTTTGTTAGTTTGAAAGTAACCAATGGTGAGACAGGAGTTGGTTCACTGAATCACTGCAAAGTGGGCAAGTAAAGTTAGACCCACCTTCAAGAAGAACTGGGCCAATGACGTATATTCTAGTACATACTTCACTGAGATGGGCGCAGCCGTAGCATCACTAACACATCCAAAATGTATTCCACCACGGAGAGTCAGCCAGACGATACGCACCACCCACGGCCTTATTGAAAGATTATTGAAATACTATTGAAAGATTATTGAAAGTCTATTCAGTACAGCAGGACAGATTCTCTCTCCCCAAAGAGCCAGACTGGACTCAAAAAACATTGAAAACCAACTTCTTCTGAACTTGAACAAGAAATGTTTGCTTCAATATTAAAATGTGTCAGTTCATGGGATGTTAGGACAGGAGACAAGAGGAGCACTGTTTTTTCTCTTAATATTAGTATTTTAACTAGAGTTGATGACAAACTGGAGTTGAACTGATCAGAGTCTATTCCTTTGTTAAGTCTAATGCTCCTTTTTTCAGGCAGACAACTTTTACTTAAATATTTTTACTGCAGTTAAAATGACACATTTTGCTTTATGTTAAATGAAAACTTTCAAAGGTATAAAAATCATTCCTCTTTCTTATTTTTGGCATTTAACTCTGCATGTCATCCCTGAAATTCTGATGCACAGAATCACAAGTCGTGAACTGTGTCAAAGAGTAAACACAATAAAAACATGCATTATCTGCAGCATTGTTCATTAAAATGACACACTATTAATGAATTACAGAAAATATACATACGGTAGGCACACTTAATGATATTGTAGACCATTGCATTAGTAATACATTCAGCAAGTACTTTTACTTTTAATACATTAAGTATTTTTAAAAGCAATAAGACTTATTTAATTTAACTTAAGTAAAAACATTCATGTGGTACTTCTACTTTTACTAGAGTACATTTTTGTCTGTTTAATTGTACTTTTACCTAAGTACAGTGTTTGAGTAATTTCTCCACCACTGCTTACACCATGCATCTTGCAGCTTGCAAGAGGACATTGGAGTTCTGCCTCTAAACAAAGTTGATGTGTTAGTAAAGGTAATGGCTAGTGTGATCTCACCTCTCCAGAACCGTGTTATTATTCTGGTGAAGCATAGTACCAGTAATACTTCCTGAGCTCGACATCTTGATAGTGTTTTTGTGGTATAAGGTTTAGCAACTGGGAGATAAAATTAGACTGAGATGGTTTGGACATGTTCAGAAGAAGGACAGTGGGTATATTGATAAAAGGATGCTAGAAATGCAGCTGCTAGACAAAGAGGAAGGCCACAGAGGAGAAATATGGATGTAGATAAAGACATGGAGGTAGTTGGAGTGAGGGCAGAGAATGCAGAGGACAATGTGAAATGGAGGAGGATGACTCGCTGTGGCGACCCCTGAAAAGGCAACAGCTGAAAGAAAAATAAGTTTTTGTGGTATAATAAAACAAAAACCCTTATCTAACTTACCATTTTCAGAGGACTCTGCATCATTTTTTAAGTGCTCCAGGTCTACTTTGGGGGGTCTGTTAGGTTTAACAGGAGGAGGACCCAAAGCTAAACTGTTGGGCAGAGGGTTACGCTTTGGACCTCCAGCAACTTTGTCGTTGATGCCTTTAGGAGAAGGCCTTACTGGGTTTTTAATGCCAGGCTTTTTACTGGAGGGTGGTTTAGGTGGGGATGGAGCAGCGTTAGCAACTGTAAAGGCTGGTTTGTTGACCCCAGCACTCTCTTTCTGCTCAGATGTGTCCTTCTCCTTGTTAAACATATTCTGAGCAGTCTTGAAGTTTGCAGGGGGTTTAAAAGCTGGGCTCACATGAGGGGGAGGTTTGCTCACAGTGTCTGCATTTGCGTCTGCCTGGTCTTCATGCTGCCACATTTTTCGAACGCCACTGATTGGCTTTTGTTGCAAACTGGGTATTTTAGGTGGCGTTGAGGTGGTGTTTGGTGCTGTAGCCCCACCACTGTCTTCCTTTATCCAATTTGGCTTGGAGTTGAGTGAGCCAGGAGGTTTTGGATGCACAGGTTTGGGATCAGAAAGGGTGGTGTTGACTGAGTGTTTGTTCAGGGGAGATATCTGGGCAGGACCTTTAGCTTCATGTGGTGGAAAAGATGGCTTCAGTGTTGACTGCAGTTTATTAACAACTAGAGGTTTGTTGGTGGTGCTGGTGTCATCCTGAGCATTAGCAAATCGGTTAGCTATGGCTTTGATTTTCTTTGCTTCTGGCACATCTGAGTCACTTTTACTGGATGGTGTGCTTTTCAGAGAGGGTGGCTTTACATTTATGACACTGGCTGATAGGTTCTCCAAGGCAGGTTTTTTGTGTGCTGCTGGGCCAGAGAGCGTGGACTGCAGGGGGAACTTAATGCGTCCAACCGAGGAAGGAGAAGTGTCATCGGTGCTTGCTCCACCTGCTTGGAAGCGAGCCCTCATGGCCTTAACATCGGCCTTGTTTTCCTGAAAATAATGGAAGATAATCAGAGTGAGGTGTTTTGTATTAAAATCAACGTAATTATGAGCAACAAACAAAAAATGTGATAGTTTAAGTCTTTTAAAGTGGGATTCTTTGTAATTGTTACAAAAAATAAATATGTTAAATCTTGTCTTTGGGTGCAATGGACCCATTTTCAATGGAACGTCTGCCTTTGATACTGTTGAACACAGTATTCTGATTAACAGGCTACGAGACACAGTCAGTCAGGCTTGTCACTGGAGTGGTTTATCTTCTATCTTTCTGGCAAAACAATTAGTGTTTCTGCAAACCAGATAATGTCAGTATCCAAGATCCTGCTATGTGGGGTACCTCAGGGCTCAGTGTTGGGATCTATTCTCTTTCTTTTGTATATTACCCCCCTTGGCCAAATAATAAGTCAGTTCTCAGATGTGTCTTATCATTTCTATGCTGATGATATTCAGCTATATTATTCCTTCAGGCCTTCTGCACATCACAAGTTGTCTTCCTTGTTAAAATGTATTAGCAATATCAAACAGTGGCTCAGTGACAATTTCCTGCAGGTTAATTGTGATAAAACTGAAGCCTTAATTTTTGCTCCTGACAATCAAATATCTGAAATTAAGCAACACCTTGGTGTATAAGCCTCTTCTGTCAAGCCAAATCTCAGAAACTTTGGCATTGTTTTTGAATCTGCCATGCCATTGCAATGACATTCTCATAGATTAATCAGAAATTGTTTTTTTAAAACTAAGAAATATTTCTATATGTTTAAGTCTCTTGTGTCAAAAGCCGAATTAGAGATGATTATCCATGCTTTTATTACATCCCGTCTGGATTATTGTAACAGTCTTTGCATTTGTTTAACCAAGAAGGATCTTGATCGTTTGCAGACTGTTCAGAATGCTGCTGCAAGGCTTTTAACTAACACACAGAAAAGACAGCACATAACACCAGTTTTAATATCTTTACATTGGCTACCGGTACATTTTCGAATTCATTTAAAAAATTTAGTTCTTACTTTTAGAGCCCTGAGTGGTCAAGCCCCAGTCTATATTTCTGACATTTTAGAGCCACTCCTCTTCTCAGAGCCTCAGATCTTCCAGCCAAAGGCTGTTAATGGTCCCACAGACTCATTTTAAGACCAGAGGGAATAAAGCTTTTAGGGCTTTGGCCCCCAGACTGTGAAATGTGTTGCCTCTGACATTGCGTTGCCTTGATTCTCTTAATACTTAAAAAAAAAAACAGCTGAAGACCCATTTATTCAGATTGGCTTTTAATTAGTTTTATTTTGTCTTATGTCATACGCATCTTATTTTATCGTTTATCTTGTGTTTTTATGTCTTGTATTCTGTAAAGCACTTTGTGGTTTCTGACCTGTAAAAGGTGCTATATAAATAAAATTTACTTACTTACTTTTTTATATTTTGCTTTCCTATACTATTCAGTTTTACATGTATGTGGCTAATCTTCTTGTCAGCAAAATATCTCATGAACCACTAGAGAGATTTTAATGAAACTCAAAAAAAAAATTGGATATGCATCTACAACTAAGAGGCTCAGAGGTTAGCAGTGTTGCCTCACAGCAAGAAGGTCCTGGGTTCAATCCCTGGTTGGACCTGGGGTCTTTCTGTATGGAGTTTGCATGTTCTTCTTGTGCTTTGTTACGTGTGGGTTTTCTCCAGGTACTCCGGTTTCCTCCCACAAACCAAAAACATGCATGTTAGGCTGCCTTCAGGCTCAGGCCTCCCTTGCAAAAGAGATCTGTGATCTCAATGGGATTTGCCTGGTTAAATAAAGGTTAATAATTATTAACTTTGGAGGTCCAACTCAAGATAGCCACTACAGCTGTTGACCTTAGCAAACACAAAAACAGCTGCAATTTAGTCAGTTTTACAGTGAGTTAGCTAACATTTAATGTAGTAGTGGCTGAAAGTCATCCCAACACACAGTCTAAGTGCAAACAGATCTTTGTTTACAACTTTGGCATGCAAGACAGTGGAAATAATCAGCTTCTTAAAGGAAAGCTTGTTATATTTATTATTAAAAATTTAAGATAGAAGACGAGTTTCAATGAATTTAATAGTAACTGTGTTGTTCTCAATTAATAAAATCAAACTGACAATTAAAAATGTAGTCTTATGCTAGAAAGCAATATCTGGTGAAACTCTTTTAGATTTTCATAATATTTCAGATTATTTTTGGACTTAGACTTGAACTTCTAAACTAGTTTTGCCATACAGAGATAGCAGAAATATGATAATTCTGCAATAAGTACCCCTGGTTGTCACAGCTACAGTGCTACATGTAAGTGATCTGCTATTTGCACCTAAAATAATAAAATAATGTAATACAAAACTAATAGGAACAAAATAGTTTATATACAGTAACAGCATTCCGTTTGTATAAACTGACAAGATATTAATGCTTCATTGCTGTTTCGGAGAACCTCCTTCCAAATAAATTGAATTATCCCTTTAAGCAAATAAAAAATAGAAACAGAAATAAAGCTGGGTTTTACTTTATATTTAGACAAAACCAAAACTAAAAGACAAAGAAAAACAACTCCTTCACAATAAACTATAAAAAGATTAAATGAGAACAGAAAGAAGAAAAGTTGACAAAAATACTCTTCCTGTCAAGCCATCAACTTCGCTCCATCTAAACCTTTTTCTGATTATTCTGTTCATGTTTAAAGCATTAGAATGAAAGAACGAGCATGAAATAAAGTTTTCATTTAGGATAACCTTAACCTATTCAAGCCACCAATGACTGTCTTTCTCTTGTTCTCAATGTGACAACATTCAAAACAACATTACACCTGACTGAAACACGTAAATTCAAGTCCGAACCACACATTCAAAAATGTGGCTCAAATATCTTTTGAAGTAAACAACACCAAAAATCCAAATGCAAATGTAAACCAGCAGCCATTGTGTGAATGTATGTACCAGTGTGTTTCTTTCAATTATTTTTTTCATTAAGGGAACAAGTCACTCATTAGCTTTAAATTGGGAATAATTAAAAAAAACAACTAAACTCAATGCCAGGGGGACGGAGCTTTAAATTTTCCAGCAAGTTCCCATGAATACGAGAACTGTGACGTCAAGGGGAATGTAACTTTAAAAAACAGGAAACCACCTGCTTGCATAATTTAAACATTTTATATAACTCTAACACAAAACCCTGATAGAAAAATACGATTAAACAAAGAATAACAGATGCTTATTAACAAAACCACATTTCATTCTGAAAGGAGAATTTATATATATATATGTGTGTGTGTGTGTGTGTGTGTGTGTGTGTGTGTTCACTTTTATTATCTATTAATAGAACAAGATGCGTATCAGAAATGTCTGTCTTGAATTCCATTCACTTCTGACAGCAATATGAGCTGCAGTAAAAAAAAAAAAAAGTATATTTAATGATTGCACTTACTGAAAGTCTGAATAAAGTAAAAAAATGTGTTTTTATTAACCATTAAGCTGTTCAAAAGCCTGGAATCTGACAGCCTGTCACCTGAATGAGTGTCAGTGTGCAGAAAGACAATGACTTTCAGACTGTGGCAAAATGTGCAACCCCAGTTCTGCAGCTGTTTCACTCACAGGTTGGAGAAGAACTGACCAAGCAGCAGCCACACCTATTTTAAAAAGACTGGTTTGACTGGAGTCACAAAGACTTTACCAGGAAATGGAGATAAGAGATCCGAACTGCTGCTATACCAGCCACACAACAATAAATGGGAAATTTAAGCATTATTTATAGATCAGCTAGAATTTTCCTTTTTATTTAGATCACATTTCCAGGATTTAAAAAAAAAAAAAAAATTCAATTAAAATACATGACTGAGAGGCTTATGTTTTGCCAACTCATGTCCATGTTATACTTAAACTCATTGGTATAATCTTTAGTTTTCTGAAGTAGTTTATTTATTTATTTATTTTTCATAGTACGTTTCTGTATTAAAAAAAAATCTATTATTGGAAACAACATAATTAAGATGATGTCACTTTGTTAAAATACCAAAGTGCTTTTCTACTCAAATATTATATATCATACCGGTAGTTTAATTCCCATCTCTTAAGAGAGGAAAAAATATATATCCTTGTTAAGTTTTGAACTACAATACTGACCACTTAAAGCCTTCATACACTTTTAAAAAATATTTTCAGTTTTTATTTTTTATTCATTGTTATAAATCTGCTTAAAAAAATCTTCATTTATCTTCAATATTTAATCTTTACACATGAGGCTGTATTATTCTGTCAATATTCCACTGGCTAGCAGCAAAATTGCAACACAGATCAACTAGTTTATGACTGTAATAAAAAAATATCAGGATTAGTTTGATTAGTTTTGACACCTTTGTTGGCCACCAAAGAAAACCCACTTATCTGAGTTTTTTGTGCTACTTTTCATGGTTAACCGGGAATTGTTATGTATGTGTCACTGCCAGTAACATCTTACAGAACCAGCCTAACTAAGTGTCTCAACACAGGCCTGAGAGGTGGCCAAATGTTAAAAAGGAAAACAAGAGTAAGAGAAACGTTATTACTTCTGTTTCTCAACCACTGACAGCTATAAATTGCTTAACTTATTATGTGCCAAACTGTTGCAGCTGCTGCTTCTCTAAATAAGTGTGCGGTGCAGGCGAAATTTTGTAAAAAAAAAAAAAAAACTACAAATTTTGAGACATACTGGAAAAACCCTCCAATGTTGCAGCGGGTTTTGTACCTCTTTAACAGTCAACATGGCAAAGCTGGAAGAATAGCCTAAAGGGATAAGCTGGCAATTTTTTGAAGGAATGTTCCGCCAATTAAGCACCTTATCAACCATGATATTGGTCATAGAAAATGAATTATAGGGGAATAGGCAGAGGTCTTCCTTTATGTTAAATGTCTTGGTTTATCTAGATTGCCAGGCTTATGAAACAATTTGTTCTCCAAAATGTCATACTGCTGTGAAAGAATGCTACATAAGCTAATATACATGACATTGTTTGTTCAGTTTGTTGCTGTTTTTGTCACGTTTCTGCCCCTTCCTGCCATAGATTTCTGTTTCCATGTTCTGTTTGCCTGTCACACATCCGTCAGCTCAAGCCTGCTCCCTCCAAGCCTTGCCACACCTCCCTTGTTTCTCCACAGCAGTCAGCGCTCGTCAGCTTCACCTGTTCACCTGCCTCTATAAGCTCCACATCACCAGTGCCAGATTATCGAACCTTACCAAGTAGTAGATGCCCAGCGTTCATGCCACAGCTTTGTTTGCCTTCCTGGTTCTGACCTTTTGCCTGCCTCTTGGACTCCTCGTCTTGCTTATCCCCCGCCTGATTTGGATCTCCCTCTCTGACCATGGTAACGATTCTGCTCTTCCTCACCTTGACTACATCTTTTGCCTTGGACTCTGGATTTGGATAAGGATTTCTGACCACTTGTGTATAACTTCGGACCGTTCTGCTGGACCTCAATTCTGGACTTGCCCCAACATCTCAAGCTGCACAGTTCTCCTGCTCTGCTGCAGCAGAATCACCGCTGGTGACGTTATCGGATCCACCTATCACACGGATTCTGCTTTCTGCCCGACAGTGAAGGTTAGTGACTGCCTTTATTTGTCTAAGAACATTCACAGTCAAAGCAAAGTCACCAGCTCAACTGTCTCTGCAGATCAGAGTGGCCCACAGACCCAGACATCCACCAGAGTTCCTGCTTTAATAAATCTTTTAAACCATTACTGAATTTACTGGATCCAAAACCCGGTTCATGTCAGTTTGACCAACTAAACAATCATGTATGGACTACTGCTATTGTGCCAAGATGAAAATGTCTTTTCCCATTAACCCAGTAAATCAGGCTCAGATGTCCCAGTTTTTCACCATCCTTGTGAATCTGGAGTAGAGCTATCATTTCGAACGTGGAGCCCGGCACCGACCGACCCGGATTCGAATTGTACCGGCCCATAATAATGTGCTTAATGTGCGGGCCGGGTCGGTGTCGGGATTTTGATTACGTCAGTGGACACGCACGGCTGATGATCCAATTATATGGCAACTTGGCTTGCCATACTAATGCATGCACGCGGCCATTTGACCGTGCGCTGATCGGCCTTGAAAAAGGTCAAAAGTTCAGCTAAGCTTCAGATGGACTACTGCCAGCGATCCATGGCCCAAATGAACGTTCATTCAGCCGCTGCACTCAGCGGACGTGTGCGGCCGACGACCCAAACAGGTGAGATCACAAAATATTTGACATGTCAGAGCAGGGTCCAATGCAGGCAGAAGCATGGGAAGCATTTAATGCGCTTTGACGGCTCCTCAGCTCCGATCTTCTGCCCCCTTTACTCAGCCGTGCGCCGACCGTTAATAATTATATAAGCAGTCAAAACTTAATTAAAAATGTAATTTTTTTTAGAGTTCGGACCTGTAATTACTATTAAGTCCTCGAATCGGGTAGGGTTTGGAAATTATGGCTACGAGCTGGGGCCGAGTCGGGTCAGATTTTTTGGACCTGAATGCAACTCTAATCTGGAGCGGTAAGAGTCACATTCACAGGCAATCAGACCCGTGTGCTCGTGTTGACTGATCCGTCCACAGCAGATGATTTTTGCACGAATATTTGATGATACGGTTGCACAGCGTATTCCAACATGTGCAATTCGAAATGCATTTGAAAAACTGTTTATGCATTTGTGAACCTTGTGGTACAATTGTGGATTTAATTGTAGGCATACCAATATGTTGCACGCTTGTGTGACTATTTCCAGTTTACACTACTTCCTGCAAGGAATGCACATGTATCTATATAACTGAACAGGTTGAAGACATATTCTGGTTTTTCTGAAGTGATGTTTTGTCAAATGGTTATATTATATATTTGGTACTTTATCAGCTGTGACATCAATTATAGAGCACAGAGGATGATGCAAACGGCAGGTCTTCCTCCAAGCTAGGCTAAAGGCAAGCCAAATGAAGACCTTTTTATTCCTGTTTTTCAAGTTTTTGAAACAAGTTTTTCTCAAAAATGTCACAGCAATGTGAAAGAATGCCACGTTAGCTAATATGAAATTTTTACACTTTTGCATGCCACCTTTTGTTCATTGCTATGTCATTTGAGATAAGCTCACTTTTTGGACTATTAGCTTTTGTTTAAGATATAAAGAAATAAGTCTTATGCATGAAAATGTCTAAAGTAGAACAAACTACAAATGACTGGTAATTAGCTCTCAAAATGTACAGGATTTTGAGTTTCAGAGTGACAAAAAGTAAAAAAGCAAAGAAACTTATTGCATCTTGTCACAAAAGCCAGAAGTGCAACTGTAACAGTGTGTTATGTTGTTATTTTAATCCATGTGTTGCAAACTTGACAAAAAAATCAAATGTACAATAAAATGAAGATACTTCATATTCCATTTCATGTTAGAAGTAACAATTTTCCAATCTGATCAAAATATTACTTAAGTAAATAACTAATGTCCAATAAGTTTGTACAAAAGTGTTACAAAAATCAACTTTAACCATATTCTGACAAAAAAATAACACATTGATCTGAAGACCCAAACGATGAGTTAATTATGGAGTACTCACCATCTTTGCGACAGCAGCCCTATTTGAGCTGAGTTTACAGGACGAAGAGGTGAAGAGTTTTTGTTTAGTGTCCGCTGCTGTCAAAGAGAGAACTGCACCGAGGACCTGAGAGACACTGAGTGACAAAGACACAAACACCGACTTTGTGACTAGTGTTTTTGTGGAGGGGGCGTAAACTCCAACTCTAGTGGTGACATGAGCATTTGTCTACAACTGACCACTTCCTCTGCCAGCGTTGAGTGTGTGTGCGCGCTCTGTGAGGCTGTGAGTGTTGCAGCCTCTGTTATCTCAGAGTTTTGATCTCATGGATTTGCCTATCTGGCAGTCTCCCTGCAGCTGTTCACATGATGACTAATCAGTCAATAGTGGGAGAAAAAAAGGACAAAGCACAACAAATCCATAGCAACAACATTAAATACTGTAATTATTATATAAAACGATTTGGTTAACAAGAAGGTCACGTGACCTTAATAGTATAGCTCATATATTTTGTGGTGGGATTCCGTGGAAAGGTTATGAAGTATAAAAAATAAAAATCAAAAAAATTTATTGAGGCTGTTTAAATAGATTTAAAAAAATACAGGTAAGATATTACATATGCACAACCTCTCCATAGAACCCCACATTAGAAGATCTGATCTGATACTAGGCTATACAATGATAGATAGACAGACAGACAGACAGACAGACAGACAGACAGACAGACAGACAGACAGACAGACAAGGTTAAGTTAGCTCCTCTGGACAGATTCTTCTTTGTTTTATCAAAAAGACTTCTTCAGGCCTGACAGTCTGACATAATCAGACTGAAGAAATCTTTTGGATAAAAGTTGAAACGTTTCAACAAAAAATAATCCATCCTGTGGACCTGACTTAACTTTGTTAGATTTATCTACTTGGATTATTGAGCATGCATCAGGGCACATTGTACATACATGATTGATTGATTGATATACGATGACTAAAATCTTTATTTCCTTTAGATATTTTGCTTCTGGCACAGACAAATAAAACACAGGCATGGTGTAAAACAGGGGTGTCAAACTCACTTACAAAAGGGGGCCAAAATTATGACCTTTTTCAAATTAAGGGCCCGTTTCAGAATCTACATAAACTCAAGTTAGATACCCAACATATTTTATTGGTTGCAGGTTCCTCAACATGAGTTTGATTGGTCTCATTTGACGTTCTATGTTGCACTTTTGACATCATAATCAAAGATTACTGAAAAAACTTAAAGTGATAAAAGTATTTTACATTTAAAATAGCATCTCGGGGGCCAGGTAAGATGTCAACGAGGGCCACATTTGGCCCACGGGCCATTAGTTTGACACATATGGTGTAAAACATTATCACCTTTTGCCTTCGGCAGGTGAATTTTTCATTCATGCAACCTTTATACAGGTTAATCCCGTTGAGCCTCAGGGACTCAGCCACTGGGGGAGGCTGTGGCTGATTGGTTAGAGCAGTTGTCCTCCAGTACAAGAGTTGGGGGTTCAAATCCACCAAGAGAGACCTGATTATAATGAGATTATAATGGATAATGAGAATACTGACAGTGTGTTGTCTGTAATGTGATTTTTGTGTCATAATCTTTGCAGAGAGTGGTGAAAGCTGCACAGAAGTCTGTTGGAGTCAGCCTCCCCACCATCACAGACATCTACACCTCCAGATGCAGGAAGAGGGCCACCTGCATCATGAAGGACCCTACTCACCCAGCACACACACTTTTTGCCCCGCTCCCCTCAGGAAGGAGGTTAAGGAGCATTAAGTGAAGAACCACTAGACTGAGGAACAGCTTCTACCCTGAGGCTGTTAGACTCATGAATATCTAACCTGGATAATTACATCATGTTGCTGCTGATCTGTTTCATGCTGCTCTGTTCATTCGTGCTCATCTGCTCACACAGACTCATGTTCGTGCTGCTGTTCGGCGTATTGTTTTTATGCTATTAGTGCTTAGCGTATTTTTAGTTAATGTTTTTCTTAGTTAGATCATAATACTCTTTCTCATTTACATTTTATTGTTGGGTGTAACTGGGACCAAGTGTACATAATTTTCTTCCACCACATGTGCCACATGTGGCGCGAACAACAAAAAAGAAACTCTGACTTTGATAATCTTTTTTATTATTTAAAAAAATGTAAAAATACAAAAAAGTAGAAAACAAAAGGTGAGCAGTTTTTACATTATTTGGAACAACTTTTCTGTATGTCATGCTAAATATACAGTATATCTAAGAACAAGACCTGTTTTGCATCAGAATGTATTCATGTTCCGTCCGAGGGGTTGTAACGTGTTGAGGCCTGCAGGATGCTCTGAATGGGAGACATTTTTCCCACAACAAGCCTCTGATCCAACTACCTGCACTGTCGGTGATGCATCGTACCATGATGCAAATTCTACTGAGAAACTGTTTTGCTCAATCATCCCCACCTCTTATGTAATTTATTCCGCTTTTTGAAGTTGAAAACTGCAACACTTGTTACTTTCAAACTAGTTTATTTTGGTTAATCTTACTTTTGAAACTATGGCTGCTTTTACTTTATTTTCAGTTTTGCCTTAGTTTGATGTTGCCATATGGTTTGGCCTTTTGCCTTCCTGGTTACTTCAGTTATTTAGCTTTTGCCTTTTCAGATTGCCACTCATCTGCACTGTTTAACGTCCCCTCTGCTTAATGATAATTCGAGTTTCATCTTCTTTGATTCATGTCTGACACAGTTTTATGGTTTATTCATGTTGCTGACTTCAGCAGCACTTCTTGTCTTTTCTATTCCTGTAAGCGAACATAATGTCCTCTTCTTCTGCTGCCTCCTGCCTGCCGTTCTGGATCCACATCTGTGATATACTCTAACACTACTCCTGTTATTGTTCATTTATTTATGTATTTACTGACTGATAAACTCATTACTGTAATTACTAAATATTTTTAAATTTTAATATTAATATTTGAGGGTTTATTATATCCATGGCTATGGTCAAAACAACCAAACACAGTGCAGCACATGATTATTCTACATTTGCCGGTTTTGACTTATTTATTCTGAATTATTTTAATCTGTCAGCTCTGTTGGCAAATGTGATATACAAGTATATCTTTCAAAATAAAAGCCCTGCTAAAAACAGGAGGGTTCCCCTTTAAAACTGTACTCAGTGGGGTTTTTTAAACAGGAAGTGAAAGACGTTTTTGTAAGAAGTCGCTTGCACGCCTTCTATTTTCACATGTTTTTAAACAGCGTTACTCAAAATATGTGTCTGACTGAGAAGACAGCAGTAAACAATTCGGTCTATTTTTAAAATCAACTGCAAACCTTATACAGTATGTTGAACAAAACTATAAATGCAACGCTTTTGTTTTTGCTCCCATTTTCATGAGCTGAACTCAGGTGTGACTTTTTCTACGTACACAAAAGGCCCGTTCCTCTCAAATATTGTTCACAGATATGTGTAAAAGTGTTCGTGAGCACTTCTCCTTTGCTGAGATAATCCATTCACCTCACAGGTGTGGCATAACAAGAGGCTGATTAGACAGCATGATTATTGCACAGGTGCGCCTTAGGCTGACCACAATAAGAGGCCACTCTAAAATGTACAGTTTTACTGTATTGAGTATTCCAAAGTTCAGAAAACCAGTCAGTATCTGGTGTGAGCACCATTTGCCTCATGCAGTACAACACATCCTTCATAGAGTTGATCAGGATGTTGCTGGTGGCCTGTGGGATGTTGGTCCACTTCTCTTCAAGACTGTGAAAAGTTGTTTGATATTGTCAGGATCTGGAACATGCTGTCGGATATGCTGATCCAGAGCATCCCAAACATGCTCAATGGGTGACGTTCGGTGAGTATGCTGGTCATGCAAGAACTGGGATGTTTTCAGCTTCCCGGAATTGCAACATGGGGCAGTGCATTATCATGCTGCAACATGAGATGGTGGTCATGGATGAATGGGCCTCAGGATCTCGTCACGGTATCTCTGTGGATTCAAAATGCCATCAATAAAAGGCACCTGTGTTTGTTTTCCATAGCATATGCCTGCGTGTACCATAACCCCACTGCCACCTTGGGGCACTCGATTCACAACGTTGGCATCAGCAAACAGCTCACTCACACGACGCCACAGTCTGCCATTAGACCTGTACAGGGAAAACTGGGACTCATCCATGAAGAGAACACCTCTCCAATGTGTCATACACATCGAAGATGAGCATTTGCTCACTCAGGCTGGTTACGATAACAAACTGCAGTCAGGGGGAGACCCCAATGAGGACGATGAGCATGCAGATGAGCTTCTCTAACGGTTTCTGACAGTTTGTGCAGAAATTCTTTGGCTATGCAAACCGATTGTTGCAGCAGCTGTCCGGGTGGCTGGTCTCAGACAATCTTGGAGGTAAAGATGCTGGATGTGGAGGTCCTGGGCTGGTGCGGTTACATGTGGTCTGCGGTTGTGAGGCCGGTTGGATGTACTGCCAAATTCTCTGAAACACTTTTGGAGATGGCTTATGGTAGAAAAAATGGGTAACAGCTCTGGTGGACATTCCTGCAGTCAGTTTGCCAATTATGCTCTCTCCAAATTTGTGCCATCTGGAGGACAAAGTATCTCCCTAGTCCCACTCCGGTTTCACACTACTGGAGTCTCCTGAGTCTGATCTAGTGAAGGAGGGGTCCCCTTTAGGATACTCCCCCCACCCCCCACAAAACAAACTCAAACCAGAAGGGCTTCCTGTTGGCTGGTTTCTCTGTTGCTCTGCAGTCTCTGAGGTCTGCCCCAGTGCTAGAGCTAAAGCAAGATCCTGCAGATCCACCGTAAAAGTCTCCAACACTACAAAGGGGGTCAGTGTGTTCATTCCAACACTTTGCTACATCTTTATTAAAGCCCCTGCCTAGATCTTCACCAAAGCCGTTTTCAGACATACAGACGTATTTTAGTTAGTCCAGCTGGGAAAACAAGTTTTTAATGGGGTCTAGGTTTATTCAAAACTTGTTTGCAAGTGGTTTACAGATGCATCTGTTCTCCCTGTATCATGTCTTTGCTCTGTTTTGGCTTGCATAGTAACTGTTTTGTTTATTTGGACATTGCATCATCAACCCTTAAAACAATCATTTGCGTCACTGTGAATGCCAAAGATCTATGGTTTGATTTTCAACGTCCAAGCCCTACATAAAATTAACAATCAAATAAACATTAGTATTTGGAGAACTGTGTTTGCAGATTTTTTTTTCTTTCTAAAAACGGTTCAAATTCATAACTAAAATAACTTTATTCGTTTATTTGAAATATTTCCCATGATCCTAAAATTTCAACACTGGAATTTTCTGTGTTTATTTTAAACAGTGAAGCTGCTGGAAAAAAGAAAGACTATTCAGAGATGTTGCCAAACAGAAAAAAAAAAAATCTCTGGCTTCAGCCATTTTATTGTACAGTTGAATGTTGAGCATGTGCTTTCATTTTTGAAAGTATTCCATCGTTTTTGTCTTTTTTTAAAGTTCTGTTCAACAGATGCCTAAACTTTATCTGTTTAACACGCGTGCCTCTTCTGCCCCATCTTCGTCATAACCAGGATAGTGGCCCTCCTCACTGCCTCCTCTTCCTCTGTCATCGGGGCAGTGGATCCCCAACCTCTCCTGCAGCTTTGCCTCCTGGAGGCGACGCTCCAACGAGTCCACCAGGTCATAGATGTTCTCTAGGGACCACAAAGGTGAAGGGAACCATGCCTTGACATCGCCATCCTTCCCCACGACCAGCATGCTGAAATAGTCCTTACTGATCTTAAGCTGCTCTCTCAGGTTGTTGACCATGTCACGAGACAACGGCTCAGTCTCACTCTGACTACGACCTGCACAGAGAATGACACAGTGAAAACTAAATAGTGTTCTTTATGAAGCAAAACCAGAAAAGAAAAGACTTTGGCATCTAACATCTGATCTGTCTTATTGTTATTTACCATTTAGAGGTAATAGCTCAACAGTTCCTGATGCCTTTTCTCCATTTCCAGTCAGCTTTAACATGGCAAAGTGACGAATACCTAAAAATAAAAAACATAGAAAGCATACTTAACCAATAGGAGCTTGATGGACAAGTTCTCTTGTCTAAACTGATAAACAAGTGTAGATTAACATAAATAATCTACTTTTTAGTTGCACATGTATGAATATTTATAAATAATATCAGGGAAAACAGTTTAGGGTTTGTTTGCCCCGTTAAGTCCTGATGTTCTGAAGGAAAATGTAACTTGGCTGTAATGTTTCTTTAATGCATCGAATATTAATGCAGATGTTGTGGTGTGACATTTACCGAGGCTACACTCCTGTCCACTGAGAGCAGAAATCTGCTGCTGGAAAAAGTAGTCATCCTCAGCAGGAGCAGAGATCAACAGCAGTCTTCGTTTGGAAATGAATCTGGGTGAAAATATAAAAACGGCTCAAATAACTATAATTCGGAGTAACCATCAGTTTTACAAACTATTTAAACACAGAATGAGACACAGTATGATACCAGAAAACACATGATACTCCAAAAAATATACTTTAACAATGGAAAGCATGCTCTGTATTTTGAAACTTTTTGAAACTTGATTTTCAGAAAATCCACAGCTGACATTTTTTTTGTATTTATTTTTTTAATCTGATTGTGTTTAGTGTTTATTTGCCCACCTGAACAGTGAATCCTCCACCACAGGCTCCTGAATATCTTTGGCACAAACTGGAGGACTCCTCCTTTCTTTCTCCTTCTCCGAATGCCTTGAAGAAAAGTTGTCAATGTACCCGAACAAATCTGGACTCGATGGAGGGGCCTCAAAAACCCTCTGTAAGCAAAATATAAGTTACAGAAAATAAAAAAAGAACTCAAACAGAACATAGGAAAACATCTCATCAAGTAATAATGCAACACATTTGTCGTGCAAATTTATGTATTTTAAATGTATGTATTTTAAATTTATGCATGATATTGGATTTTAGGCCGATATCCGATATGCCAATATTTTAAAAATTATTTGGCCGATAACCGATACAAATACCGATATTTTCCCCCTAGATTTAATTACAGAGACTACATAGCTTTCTCTGCTGTGAATTAAAACACTACATTATTCTGCATGGTCTTTGTCAGTTTAGCTTGCTACCAAATGCAGATGCCAAAAAGGGGCTGAAAATGATGTAACACTTCAACTTGGATTATGTTTAATGTCAAATTTATTCATGAAGTTTACTCTCTAACACAACGACAACACTCAAAAAGTGCAAATTTGTAAATTTTCACAAATCTAAACTCAACCTGTTTACAATCGAAAAGTGAAAAGCGCATAAATAGTAGTGCATTAGATATACTTGACAGTTTCTTAAATAAAAATAACTTAAAATAACTTTCGTACCGGTCAGTTTTTTTAATGGAATGGCTGATGTCCGATTTTTAATTTTATCACTAATATCGGCCGATAACGATATAATGCCAATAATATTGTGCATCCCTATATATAT